TGTAATTTGGTTATTTATCTGTTCCACATTTCTGACTAAATTCATTACTGTTTTCTCATTTAGAATGCAACAGGACTGAGTCTTCACAGATCTTAAGAACTGTTTCGCCCTTAGAACTATGGCCCTATGGAACTGTTTACGGGAGACCCAACTAACAGCAGATCATAAAAAGAATGCTGGATGTCCATTTTAATCTCACAACCACTTCCAGTACTTTTTGAGTTACTTCTTTTACCCTTTCATTTGGAAAAAACAACAAAAACTGCAGATTAACATTACAAATGCAACTTTTAGACTGGAACTTGGTTTAAACCTTTGTTTCATATTCGATTCTAATAGAAAGTTCTCGAGTAAATTTTTGAACCTAATGCTACTTTGTTTTATCTACTTAATCGTTGCAAGAAACTTGTGATAATCGAGCCTCTCATCACCTAATTCATGTGTTCAGGCTTCCGTGTCTATTAGCAGGGGATCACCGAAACCTCCAAGCAGGAACCTAGGTATGTTAACAATAAAAGACCCAGTCGCCTCCCAAATGACTCCTGGGAAGTCGCTTGGACTAGTTCGGCGGGCAGCGAATTCCAGCATTCGACAACTCTTAAGGAGTAGAAGTTGTGTCAACATTCCGTCTTGCTATGTTGAGTTTCCAGTTTCTGGGTGTTACCTCTTAGGTTATTATTCGAACTAAGCTTAAGTAGGTGTTTAAGAGGATGTCCAGAAGTGTTAAGGATCCTGTAAGTAAATAGGTCACCTCTAAGACGTCTATACTTTAATGAGTAGAGGTTAAGTGATTGGAGGTGCTCTTCATAAGGTGATTTGGTGCATATCTCCGTCACTTTCTTGGGAAACCTACAGGCTCGGGTCCTCTCACAACTTATTCTAGCCATCATGAGTTGACAGGAAAACTGATGGATGGACACGCGTTACACATCCTAACCGTCCCTGCATCTAATCTCATAGCTCCTTATTCAAATGTCATATGATAAGCAAGTAATGCTTCTACCGACACTAATGGAACACGAGTAATTCAAAAGCACCCTGTATGGTACTTTACATTGGTCTACGCACTCACTTAGCTCTTTAGTGAGAATATTACTACAGTCCTGCTAAAAAAACCCATGAACCCCCCTACCACCATCAAAACAATAAGTCTGTATTTGCTGCATATAGCAATTTTATTTTTCAGAAGATATAACAATAAGAATTGGAGTAAAATAACAATATACAACAGATGCACGTGGTACATGTCTTCATCGATCAACTGAAATAGAGAATACGGATATTAGCTTAACATGCTTATTTAGAAAGACTAGTGTTTACTTTGAACTTACTGCGTGAGAAAGTTATACTGGAACTGTGAATAATGTAGGAATCTAGTCTCCCAGGGCGTACGAAGCACTCAAACTGGAAGACAGTTGTCACAAATTAATTCGAATATGAAGTTGAGAATTTGCAGGTACTTTTCACCGTAAAGGTGAACATATTAGATAACGGTTGACATCATACCGTAAAAATAACAAATTTGCGAGTGGTGAATTATGGACTATAAAAAGCTGAGCTTAATAACAGTTAGTTACCTTTTTACTCCCTGATCATGACCCTTCGGCTTCCTTTTGTGGCCAAAACACCAAACATACACTACACATTGATAGCAGATTTCCGGCTTCTCAATGTTAAGCTTGCTTTAACGCACTACGTAATGCTATGTGGCATATTTTTTCATAACAAACCCTCTGCAATATATTGGTAGCATCTGTGGTTGTCGGAAGCCTGGATACTTTCGAAAACAATACTGACATCCCCTACTGCTAGGCACTAAGTATTAGTTTGACTCATTGGTAGGATATAGTTGTCCGCAATACTGAAGAAAATTAAAAACTGGAAATTGTTTCCTTTCATTTTGCCGATAACATCAGAAAGGAACGAACATGCGGACAGTTAGTCACAGGAGGCAGCAACAGTTATTTCAGCCAAAAAAACGAACTTCGGCTTTGGATATCTAGAAAACAAGTCAAAACAAAACCGATTTCCATTTTGAAACATAAGACTAACCAGCTTGACTGAAGAAATACATTGACTAGAGTAGAAGCAGCAAAAACCCCAAAAACAATGCTGATTCGAAGTAAATTTCACACCACCATGTAGAACATTGCACTAACTGCGGCATCTTAGCACATTGAAACATTAATTACATAGCTACACAAAAGAAATAGCTAAAATAAGCACAGAACGAAGAAAGCCGGCCACCATTAAGTACAAAGATGGCTGACATAATTATTCCCGCCACATTCTGATTGGTTGCTAAGCTGAAGGGCACATTTACGAAATTGAGTTGCGTTTAATTGCAGCCGTTCTTCTGTTGTAAAGAATGCCGCCCTTGCTTCGTCAGTTCATGCCTTCATATCCGAATTCCAGACTCTACTTACAAAGATGTACGATTATTCTGTAGATTCACGACATCCAATCAAATAACCATTAAAATCAAATCAGAACATCGAAATAGGTGAATTTCTCTTTCATATTGCAAAATACGTAAGTGTTGTTATAAACAACAATTAAAATAAGTTTTTTGAAAAGCTCTCAGCGTTTATATCTACAGAATCAGGCTGAGAACGGCAAGTCAAACGCAATATGAGAACGGGCAATTGAAGGTTGAAATTGTAAGTCATTGAAGTGAAACCTTTGGATTAAACAGGTTTGTCAAAGCCCAGTGATAAGGAATAATCTTCACAATAACAGTTTACAGTGTGATTAGTGCTTCAAGACCTTACTGTAATATATTTGTAAAAAGGCGTCTATGCAAACAGTGTTATTCCACTTAAAGCTTCATCAATACGTACATGACTATACAGTAATAGTTATGTATAAATTAGTGGGCCAAGTAATGATTGAGTGATGACCTTTGAAGTAAGGTACATAGTTAATGATAATAAACTAAGTGTGAATACAAAAGAAAAGTTAGATGCCAGGTGTTGTAGTAGTGTTAAGAAATGTGGGTAGGGTGGAATGCCACTCAGCCTTATCCAGGTCGTTGATCAAAGCAAACCGCTTCTCCTTGGTGGGCGATCATAAAAATATTAATAGTTCCTTGAACTCTATTGTGGTCCGGTGTAACAAATTGAGTTAATCTTTTGTACTACATGAACCGATCTCCTTTTCAGTGTCTCCACACTGAACTTTTCTAATCTACTGGAGCGGCGAATAGATCCCCAAAATAAATAGCTCTGTAAGTTTTGAACATTAGATTCTGACTACATTAGTTTTAATGGACTCACCTAGCTGAAGGCGCTCGGCCTTGCATCTGCACCAGATCATGAGTGGGAACGCCGTGCTCAACATCCTCATCAATTGCTAGCCAGATAAGATCAGTCGATCACTGATACATTGATAGCCTATCAAATATATCTTCGAACATCCTCACATCTGTTTTTTGGTACGATGTGTTACTGGTAAAATTATAACAATAAATAAGTGAACTTTCACTAAAAAAATAAGTAATAAAGAAAAGAGACAGACTTAGATGGAGTCGCTACGGTCAAACATTAAATTTTCTTTAGGTTAAAAAAGGGATACAGGAATGACAAACTACATTTCAATACCAAAACGAGAGCCGTTGCCGTGTATTACTACGGCTTTTGTCAAGTTAAAAACACCGGATTGGAATTAATTTGGAATTCCATCCGATGGCTTTTTCTTTATATGACTCACGGCCACTTATCAATCGACAGTACGACATGCTTTGCCTTTTCCTAAGCCTTTATAAACTGCCAAAGGTCATCTGCACCTAATCTTTGGCTATGTTGCCTTGTAGCACAGCCGATATAACTTTCATGGTTGTGACAACGAATTTCGTAAACACACACCAAACTTACAAACTTTGACTTTTATTAAGAGTTCTAAATTTATGGACAAAAGACAACGAAAAATGGCAGCTGTCAAAAGCTTTTTCAGATCCTATGACTATTTAATAACGTAGTGTACCGGGAGCTGTCTCACCTGAACTACAGTTTCAAGAAGAGTTTTCTTCCAGACCACCATGTCCCCCACCTCAAATATTTTGTATAAGTGTACATCATTGAAGAGTTCTGAGATTACCACGTTGTTAAGTCTGAGCTCTCTGTGTGAGATACATGCATTTTTATGGACGTCCTGTGGAACGTTCTAAATTGTCTGTAAATTTTTTTAATATTCAGTATTTGATAGTACTACTGTTGGTGGCACCTTCATATTGAGGATCACGTACCCAGCCAAACTCGATGTCAGGAATCAAGGAGTTTGAGGTATGTTTTGAAGATCGATGGTTTACAGAGCTATTCTGACTAGGTGTTGCGAGGCCATACTAACACGACATACCTAATGGTGATCTGGGGCGGGTGCTTGGTGCATTCAGTAAAATTATTGGGTTCAAAGTCGGTGTTGGTGGCTAAGGGAACCATTTACTTTGGGGAATTATTTACCACTGTACGCCTTATTATATCATGTTTCTTAAACTTGGAGATGCCACAATTACTTGAAGTTTCACAACCCTTTAATCAGTAACACCTTCTATAAACGAAACATGTTTACTGAGTGAAATCAGAAGCAAAGAGATTGGAAGATATGTTCGATAGGTTATCAATATATCGAGAACTGACTAATCTAAACTCACTCGTGGTAGTGGGATAAGTTCAGCACGGAGTTCCTACTCGTGATCTGGTGCATATGCGTGACCGAGCACCTTCAGCAACGTGAGTCCGTTTAAACTGGTGTGGTCAACATCAAATGTCGAAAACTTATGGAACTATTGATTTTGGGGATTTATTTACCGCTACAAAGTTCTTGGAATGACAGGCATTCAGTCGAACAAATCCCTTGGTGATTTTCAAAGACTAAAAACAACAAAGTTTCTTACGAATAATTGTCAGTTAACATAATGAACCGCGAAATTCTCTTAATTTGGAATAAAAATAATCTAATTATTATCACCAATCGTCACAACTATTTGATCGTCATGTCAGTGAGGATGTATGAATAACCATATATACGGATGCGCATTTTTGTTCTAACAAGACATCTATAAGGCGTAAGAGGATCGATTCAATCAGCAGTTTGTTTTTCTACACAAAAACTTTAATTCACATTTCAATATTTTCCCGATTTTGTGAAATATTTTGGACATAACGCTCAAAGCGATAAAATGTTGGTGATAGAATAAACCTCAAATTACTTTAGTGTGCTGAACTAGATTTGTGATAGAAGTTTCGTTTTCGATGACTAAAGTTGATGTATGCAAATGGTCAACAATAAGTTTCAACCGATTTTTGTCCCATGAAAACAATGTTAGAGATAACATACATGATTACCGATTTGGCTCCCAAAGTTCTGTTTCGAAGAATGCAGACTCATCAAAAAGTAGCAGATCCTCTGAGTCCATAAATAAATCCATGCTTGAATGTAATACAGAAGAATCTAACTCAAAAAGGAGTCCCAATAATAACCAAAAAGTGGTTTCATCGTCTTTAGTTTCTGGCAGTAAGTCATATTGATTCTATTGTTTTCTGATTTTTGAACGCTTAAAAATTTTTATAACATCAAAAAACATATTGGTTATAATTTGTGATCGGTTTAGTTGTAATAACATAATTCATCTCACGGATCAACTGACGGAACCAATCACGATAACTAACCCACATTGTGCAATGCTTCAAGCATTACAGACCCATTATTAAATTAGTGATGGCCATATTTGTGATGTTATGCAGCTGAAAAGAAGTACAACATAGTTTTGAGTATCTGATGAGCGAATAGTGTTAAAACCAGTGAACAACCTATATATTTTGTTTGTAAAGTGTTGTGTCAAACACCCGCTGCAGCTTTTGGAATAAAAGTGGTCACCAACGGATGAACTTTTATTTGATGACAGACATAAATTATTATGACAATTTCAGATCGGGATCTCTGAAAAAACACAATAATAATTTAAGCGACAGCAATAAAATACACTGTTTCTGAAGTCCTTTTATTCAGAAAGCATTATATCTGGGTCAACATAAAAGTATAAATGGGTTCGAACAGATAAGTTGGCCAGCCAGTGTAAAATGCACGCCAAAACTGGAGATTATTATTTGAACATATTTACAATCAAGAATTTCAATTGACAAAATATTTGAAAATGCAAAATTCCGTGAACCCTCACATCACAGTAGCATCTAGATAATATGCTGTTTTCTGTCCACATACCTAGGTTTTATAAAGCCGTATTGTCTTTCTTGAGAATCGTGAAGGGAATCAGAGTTCACCCGTCATAATAAAAGGTTTGCTTTGTTTCATGTTAGATCAAGAAGTTACACTCAATGCAGCCTTCAACGGTTTTTATAAATCTCTAGCATGAGGTCTAGACATCAACTGCTTTTCTGCAAATTGTGACGTTCAATGATTAAAATTGTTGTTACATTACTGAGTGTATGTGTAAAATTGGAGCAGATGTCATTAAGATAGAAAATAGTTTTCTAACTCACTGAGTAGTAAAAAATACATTTCTGCTATATCTTAACAAGTAAAAAATGTATTTCTACTCGCTGAGATATGACAAAAAATATATTTATTATTAAATTTCCACCTAATACTCAATTTATTTGAATCCAACAAGTTCAAGCTCGGTATCGATGCCTACAAACTCATCGTGCGGCGATTTGTGGGGGATGTGAGTAATGTTTTCTCTTTTTTTCACATACAAGAGCCATATAAGTATATTTTTAAGCCTAACAATAGTGGCTAGCGATTCGAAGGTGAATTTCAGTATGCGGTGGTGGAGATTATGAAGTTTTGGATTGAAATCATAAACCGATTGACGCTACACTACCATTAAAAACCTGAAATCACTGAAAATCGAATTCATTCAATTGTGGGACTTCTCAGCAGTGCGCATATACTATCCCGCTCGTGGGATTCTAACCAAGCGCCTTCGGTCTTGCGCATGAATGCTTAAACTATAGACCACTGAGCCGGCATCTAGCGGTGTTCATATCTAACCTCAATCAATCTATGAAATTGCGCAACTATCTCCTATTATACTGAGGTAAATACCTTTTCCTAGTCAACACACATTAGCTCCACTGGTCACGACCCCTTAATAGAACCCCAAGACTTCCCTCACAAAGCTAGTCATTAGTAATTACAAATATGGGATTGAGAAGATTATAAAGTTTTCGATTGAAATCATGAACCGAATGATCATAGATGCGCACTGCTGAGGAATCCTATGATGGGACGAAACGGCCGTCCAGTACTTCCAGGTCTTAATTGCAGCCTAACATTAATCGGTTCATGGTCTCATTCAGAAGATGAAGTTGATGTCGTTAAAAATGTCTCGTAATCGCTCACTGCCACATGAGTGCATTTGTTCTTTATTGACAATTGAACTCTTGCTTTAAAAGATAGTTTTTAATTAATTTTTGGCTGATATATTTTTTTATCAATTTGTGCTCTCTGTGAGTAATTGTTTATACTATAACTAATGCTATTGCTGCTTTGGCATTAATCTTTATAATTTCATCAGTTTGAGAATATTTGGTTTATCAACTTGTGATGATGCATGTTTGTGCCAGGTTATATATTATTTGTGACTGACTGACTGGAAAGGTGAGAAAAATTTACTTCGCTCCAGAAACCTTATCATAAATTGCAAATCTGTGCAAAACAATACTTAGATCACTTGGTAATTCCCGTTTGTTCACTTGAGTTTGTCTTGATATTTCCTATGAGAAATTTCAATAGGTTTTCAACATTACTAAGCCGTGAAGTTCAAACAAATAGTGTCAAAAGAAACTAGCATGTCAGGACCTAGTTGCGTTAATATAACACTTACGTGTTCGCAAGAAATTCTTGGTTTTACCTGATTTCATATTCTTTTTCACATAAGGCAATTCATTTTAAATTTAAATCAAAGATTGTAACCTGAATAATTAAATAATCTTAGCATAAGATTTTTGTATTTTCATTTGTTCTTCCAATTCAAAGGCTGATTTTAAAATGCGAGGCCAAACAAATGCGTAGTACCTCATCATACTGGTACTAATTAGGCAATAAGTAGGTGTTTGGCGTGTAACAAAGCATCGAAGTCTGAGAACCAGGCAATGAAATATCACTGGTTTATCCAAACAATACAAGCGATTAAACAACCCTTAGGCTCGAATACATTACGATGCTAGTGAACAAACAATAAATCTTTACTTCGCAGTTTCTGTAATCTATATTTGATGGCGATGTGGTTGGGAGCGATGTCAAGTTCTCAACGGGTAGCAACTTTATTAAGCTATTGAGCAAGTAGTAACATAATTAACTCAATATGGTACATTATATTTAAACGTAATGCTAATATTATATTTGTTTGGTCTCAAATGAGCTCTTCACTCATAAAATAGACGTATAATAAGCATTTTAGTCCTTTAGCCTGTTCAAAGAAAATAGTGATATATTGAGGAAAAATCAATTAATGTTTCTCCATTTTTGAAGAGTGTATAATATTTAGGTTAATCAATAACAATATTTCGAAACTCAGTTGAATAAATATTCATGTATATATATCTATATGTGTATACGTGTATATTTATATCGGTTTTCTTAAATATATATATGCATCACATACCTGAGTAAATACTTGTCGTTTATAAGCCCAGTTTTTTATTCTTTTCTGTTTATTCTATTATATTTTTGAAAAGATGTTTCAGTCAACATTATCATGCTATTTCTCTCGTCATTTTTTGAATTTCTAAAGTTTTTTACCTCACAAGAGAAAATCAGAGGGAAGAAAATTGGAGTGTAATAAGTTGAGAAACACTTGTAGCATAGTTGTAAGGTATTGTTAACTCGTATCGCTTCACTATATTGAAAGTTAACTTACGTTTTATTCTTAATGAATATTCCTTGAGAAATAGGGAAGGGAATGAATCACAAAATGTCAAACCAACTGAAAAATTTGTACTCTGTAGTTGCTCCTTTAAATAAAATAATTATTATTGTATGAATATCAACTGATCACTATGCATACACATAATCTATTTTAAGTGTTCATATTTTTATTACTCAAGGCCAAAACATGCAGAATTCTAGAATGTAGTCACTCGATGAATCATACATGCATCCTTAGCCATTTATTTCGATACAAGTAAAACCAGATATGCAAATTCGATTTAAATGTTTTTTTAGTTAACATTATTGCTTTTGTTCGCAACTACAGATGTACTTGAAACACTTGCCCTAATAATATAAGTAAAACGAGTAGGATACGTATTTTGATTTATATCGTAAGTTCAGATCCTAGTTCCCAGAAGAGTCGGTTTGTGGCAGTCATAAGTTATTTGCATGTACAGCCTTCAAAAAACAGTTTCTTGTTCTTTCTACAAAACTATTGAGTTCTCCTATATACTCTTTCTTACTACTTTTGCTTCATATTTTTTTGCTTATATTATAAGTTGTTTTCGAGTTATAATTGTTACGTTGGTCAACTTAAGATTTGTGTGTTTGCTTTTCTATTCTAACCAGTTTTATTCTAGTCAATTATTATATAAATATGGCCATCATGACATGTGTTCAAAATCTACATTTTACGGGTATACTTTTATTTTTGAATACAAATATTTTAGATTTGGAAGTGAGATGAGAGAGGAAGTATCAGAGAGACATAACAAGCATTGAAGCTAACAGCTGCGAGTTCAGGTAAATGCAATGGGTAGCATACAACCTAGATTTTTTGGAGTCGGTAAAAAAATCTAAAAACGAATTGATGAGTGAACGCAGGAAAATATGACAGTGTCATTAATTTAAGAGTGGTTTCTTATGTGATCAGATAATGATTGTCTCTTTTTTGTACAAAGATCCAAATTAAATGGTTCGATAGAGAATGTGTATTGAAGAAGTGATATGTCTATCCCTTTCTATTTATCACTTTGAGTGCAATAGTAGCAACGCATCATAATTTCCTTAAAACTCTGGACTATATTTCGGTGTTACTAGCTGACACATAATTACATGAATAGATACATAAGAATCCTTCAAGATCCGACTATTAAAAATAAACTTTTATTACGTGGACTTCTGAGTTCATCTCAACCAGTTATCTTTTAGTATGCACTTTAAGAAAAGATTTTTTATTATGGATATAAAGTTATGTAATGGGATTGCGAAATCGAAATTCGTATATCACTTATCAGATAGAGCCTGTTACTGCATAATTCACAGCTCAAAAAGCTATAACAAACATTTAGAGAAACAGTTGGATACTTTATCTGTAAAAACTGATGTATTCAAGAGACTATAATTATTTTGGATGATTTGATGTACATATACATTAATTTTATGTTATGAGTTAGATGTTTAGTGTTTACGGTTAGTTTTTGAGATATTTCATTGAATAATCTCTTTGTAATAACTTTGCAATATTATATATCATCATGACGACTTCCATTTATTTAACAGATAAAATTGCCAAATCAGTATTTATATTAAAAGATACAAGAAGTCATCAGTCAAATAAAAGGGCAACTTTGGAACGAAATGAAATTTCAGACATTACGACACATGAAGATTTGATAAAAGCCAAATCCACGGAAGAATTAAGAAGAAACATTTCGGTCAAAAATGAGATAAAAATTACCAATAAAACTAAAAGTAATCAACTTAAATCTTTATCATCTCAAAAATCAGATGAATACAGCATTGCAGATTCCAACGACACTTTTTGTCAATTGAATCAAAAGAAAAATTATAAAATGGTTAGTAAACTGTCGTTCCCAGAAACAAGAAATACAGAACATGAAATGCACATAAGTACTGATAACACTGAGTCTAAACCCACCAATCATAGTGATAAGAATTCTTCAATATTACATAAAACTAGTAATAATTTTCATCAGTTTACAAATAGTAATGGTGAAAAAACGAAAAGTAATAAATCTACTAAACGGAAAAGTTATTTGAAACAAAACGCAACTCTCTTACCAAATGTATTGAGAGCAGTTGACTTTATACTGCCTACTGACGAATCAATCATTCATCCTAATAAGTTACCACATACAGGAGTGAGTTGATAAATACGTCTTATATATATTATTATTATTAATTTAATGTTCTGAAGTTTCACGAAAACAAACAATATTATTTGCATTATATTTATGAATTATATTGGTACATCTAAGGGCTGTTATATCTGAAAATATGTTGAATTACATTTTGATATCATTATAAATACGCGTATTTGCATATAGAATGAAAATGTAAATAATAAGTTGTAAAAGACGCTCCAGATTTATTGGTTAAAGCAATAAGTTAACAATTACAATTTATTTGTTGAATATAACTCTTAAGTAGGACATGTTGGCATTTATTATTAACTATGAATAACACTTGGCAACAGCTGGAAAGAAGAGCATAGGACAGAGTAGATTGAGGATTCCTGGCCGGACCCTATACTCCTCAAGGAGTAACAGTTGTAAGTTAGTGATTATACACCTAATAGGTTTACACTCACAGTTTTAGAGTCACACATAATTTGGGCTTAAAAACAAAGAAAAGTTCTACCACTCAACATTTTTAATATTTTAGATAATTGCTACTTCAGCGAAATACGAGAAATGAGAAATTGAACAAATTTTGAATACACATAGATTTTATTTTCTGACCTATTGGAAACTTTTGTATGATTAATTTTCCAAGCTACTATATGCAACAGTTATAGAATTCACATAACCATCAGTAGTCTGAGAAGTCAAGGAAATGAGAAACTGAAATTACAGTATTTACTTGGATAGTGATTTTGCGATAGATAATTTATTTGTTTTGAAAAAAAACATTATTGGTGATAAATCCGAAGTAATAAATTATTCACTTTATAAAAAATCTCAATCACAGTCTATGAGTAATGAATTTTACTTATATCAATTTAGTTTGTTATTACTATCTTTGAATTAAAAATAAACGAAATAATCACTGAAATCCAATTCAGAATTCAATTAATGAATAACTAAAACTGACTAAGTGATTCTGTCTTTTATCAAATGGTTAAGGGGTTAAAGAGAAACACAACAGTTTCGAATATAATCACTCATGACTCTGTTGGCAAAGAGTGAAAAGATGAAAATTGATGACTTGACTATGAAGAAGTAGTGGGTGAGACCTCCCAAAGTTATTGATTACAATTTTTATTATTAAATAAAATTCACGAAATGTTGTTAAATACTTATTCAAAAATTTGGTTGTTTCGACCAACTTCACCATCATTTAATTAACACGAAACATGACTTATGTCGTTAAGTGAAAAGTTAAGAGTTTTTCATCTTAGACTTATTTCGTAATTCTGAGTACAGAACACTGTACACTACTTTAAACATATTAGTTTCTTACAATTCTTCCTTGCAGTTTACTTTATTTATTTATTTATTAAGAAGTCGAAGTGTTAAATATCACACACATGTACTTGTTATTCTCTGAAATCAGTGTATAACGTCCTATATAATGATGGAAAACGATGTGTGTCCATGCGAGTTAACTGGTCAACTAGAAGAGCACTTAAAACCAATTAGAGCATTCCGCACAAAGAAAATCGTTCTCTTATTAATTGAGTTGATTGACTTACATTCGTTTTCATCTCATCCTAAATGAAGTGTTTAAAACTATTTACGAGTAAAACCTTGTTTTACAAACAGAATGACTTAATTTCTATCAAATTGTGTGCTGATGGTCTTTGACAACAATTGCAACAGTTTCTTATGTAGTTATTATCATACAATGAAGTCACTTAACTATAGTACATCATAAAAAGTAGATATATTTTAATTCATCATAATCACGAAACATTTAGAAGTGATAGACTCAAAACTTACTAATTAAAATAATCCCAAACTGCTGTGAAGTATACTACCAAATATAACTAAATACATTTGTCCAATCAGAATGGATTAAACTACAGTATCAAAACATGCTTCATTCTCAATTTTTTTTATCTTAAGTGGACTGTGAGCCATGAATGTTTCACTATCACTATGTATGAGTTTTTACTTCATTAATGATAATTTGTTAAAAAGCAAAATAAAATAAAAATTGTGAAATGCTGAATTTTGAAATCATTAAATTTGATATTGACACTTTTGATATTTGGCAGTTCTAGTCAAAAGTAAATAACTGACAGGTGTCACATGTTTTGTAAACAGTTAAATCATATGAAGTGGATCTTGGATAAGAATAGTACAAAAGGTGATATTTTGATGTAAGCACTTTAGCATCTTACATAATAATTTAGAAAGTTAGAAAATTAGGCTTAATACATTTGATGTAATAAAGAATTCCATCGATAGACTCACCGGCCCTCAATGTCATGAAGCCTGATGCATCTCTCTATTGAAGAATATTTAGATGTGCTACAATAATATGGTACACAAACATTTAAATGACTAGTTTTAATCGGATAAAAATCGACTCTTCTTCTACAGAATTGATCTAAAATCATTTGTGTCACTTTGTATTATGTACTTAAAAAGAAAAAATAACAGATTAAAATGTTGCCATGTTTAAAGAAAGTTTTATGAAGAAAAGTGTGAAAATGTTGTAGATTTTATTCAGAAAAGAAAGAAAATAACGAAATCTACGTAAAACAATCGCACTTCACTGTTGCAATATATTTTTTTGCAGTGCATTCTGTCATATAATATTGAAAAATACATCAATAAATGCTAAACCACCCATAAAAACATTAATCAACTAAACACTAATGAATTTCTACCCTTTTTGATCAGCGATTTTTTACCTTTATTAAAATATTTCAAGAAACTATAAAATATGTTAAGAATTTGGTAGTTATGTTTCAAGTAAATAACATAGTTTATCTACTTATCCACAAAATAATATCATAATTTGTGGTAGCTACGTTGATACATTTACAATGTGATATGAGGTTTTCAAAATTACTGCTAGTACAGGAACTCTTAGGAGAGCATATTTTTATTTCTTAAAGATGTCATCAAACTGGTTTCTATACTTGATGGTATGAAAATAGTATTTTTTAAATCTCAGACCACTTCAGTATTCTTTGCTTCATATTAAAACGAAGGTTAATATCAAGTGCTTTTAATCATGGGCTGATTTTCTACTGACATTTCTGTACATCATTATCTAAGAGAGAGTTCTGAATAGTCGGTCGCTCAATAATTGAATTCCCTATCATTTCTAGTCATAACGTCCCAGTGGAAATATCCATTGATGACCATCTACAAGATCAAACGATTAACCTCGAAAGGAAAAGAAATCAATAATGATAATAACTCTGCTTAATGTCGAAAATCTTGGTACAGTAAAATGTTCCGACTACCAGTTGTTTAATATTGCAACAAATACCGGTCAAAATCATCCACCTGCATTCAATCATCAAAATTGTCTAATAGTTCAGTTGATACATACTTTTCTGTGGATCGTACTTGAATTTTAACTATTTTCCACCGTTCTGTCAAAGGATAGATAACAATGAAATTATGCCAAGTTAATGTGTTTCTGCTTGAGTTTTTCAGTATTTAGTATCATAAATACTAGTAACGTTTTTCTGACAGTGTATCAGTATATACTTTTTACGCTTGTAATGATTCAATTAAACCAAATCTGAAACAGCTATTTTAATTGTGATATATGTACAGGTAGGAGAAAAGTGGCCCCGACGTCTAAGTAAGACGCTATATATTTTTGTTTTCACATGTCTGTGGTTTCCCGTTTCATTTCAGTAAAACGATAATACTCCGTTTTAGTGTCGAATTTATTCTTTATACAACTTATCAAATAGTGAACAAATCTAACAAACGTTTGCGGAGTTTGTCGAGAGTGTCATATATATGTATATATATGGTCGTTTGACACTGTTTTTGAACGCTAACTTTGACTGAGTTATCATTGTATATTGTAGAGGCGTTAGCAACTCAACCGTTCAATATTGAACTCTTTACTCGAAAGCAGGATATATAAGTTCTCATTCTACTACGATTCTATCACTTAGTTTTTTTAACATTTTAATATTCGGTAAGCTAGTTATTGATACATATCTCCAGTTTTTCAATATGTTTGTTATTAAAACTTTTGAGGTTTCTTCGTTTTTTTTTCCACACCGTTTTCATACTTGGAAAATTGGTAAATATCGTTCATGAATTTGTTTTCGTTTTATTACATTTTTCAACGTTTCGATCATTACACAACTCTCCTGAGACATTTACACTGACCGATTACTTCATGTAATTCATTCTCTTTTTTAAAAAGACTATTATAATTGTTAGAACACTATGAATATATTTATGTAACCTCAGTATACAATATTGTTGAGAGGAAAACCTTCTTTGTTGAATTGTCTTTTAAGTCTTTTTCCCTTACAGTTGTTGATTTATTCTACATCCTTCTTTTTTCGAAAATGATTAGACTTTTAAATTTGTAATCATGTTGTTAAGAGCATACTAAATGACTGTGAAACATTTTTACAAAAAAGTTTAGGATTTTTACAATGTTACTGAGGTAAAATAAACATTTGTCAGGTAAAATTCAAAGAAACTAGTAAACCACTGTGACAACAACTTGTTACTGAGGTTCGTATTTGAAGAAATACTATCTGTGGTGAACATAACGTGTTTACACCCATTGAATACAGTATGTCAAGGCAGTAACAATAAATATCTGATTTACTCAACAATGTATTAGTAATAAGTTAGCCATTTTACTAATATACATAGTTCAAACACTCCTAACACAACGTCCCATTTCCAATAAACGTCTTATTATAGGTTAGAGTGATAAGTAACCAACTGGAGGGTTACAGATCTAATTAATACAAAAGGTGTCTAATTTATATAGTGTCAAACTTAAAAATGTGTAGTTTAAAGCCAAGTTTATAAAATACCAATTATCATTTTTGTTATTATTATATAAAAGACACAATTATTAAGGTAGTACTTTGTATAAAAGCATACTTATATTACTGATAAAGGTCATCCAAATTCAGATCAATAAATCAACAATAAAATGATAATGAAATAAATCCTAATAATAATATAATATTGAATATATTTCTTTTAAATCTGTTATGATGTGATTCAAATAAAAAAAGAAAAGATAATGAACTTATTACTAACAAAATTATCACATAGAGATCACGTGTAAAAAAAAACAATTCATCATTAAAGGTTACTTTCGTAAAATTTAAATAGAGAGAAGAACATCATCCAACATATTTATTAACCTAAATTAATGTTTGCTGGTTGATCAGTGTAATTATTGTTGAAACTGAATAATAAATTATAAGTTTGGGTCTTTCAGAAATAACGGATACTCAATTTCTTTAATTCATGGTTTACATTATTGATTTATAATAATAATAATAATAATGCTGATGATATTTATTATGATAAAAGATATGTATCAAATATGTAATTCATTCATTTAATTATTGCAGTAATAATTTAGTTGAAGCAAATATTTGTAAACAATTTATCAAACGGTCATATATAATATATATATATATATATATATATATATATATATATATATATATATATATATATATATATTTCTTTTGACAAACTCTTTTAACTCTTGTTGTAAAATGTGTTTACTATTTAGTAAGTTTAACAAACAATCAATTTTATATCAAAATGGAGTGTTATCATTTCGATGAAACAGAAAAGAAAACTATCGATATAATGCAGAAACTCTTAATTTGATTGTTTCATACTCGCATAAGATATTTAGAACAATAAAATCGTCTTTCGTATGTAAAGTATTGTGAATTAGAAGTAAATGCCAGGATTACATGCACGTTGTATTTTGGGACATTGATAAAGATTTGTAGCTCAAGTGGATGATCTTAAGTGTAATTTCATTCCCTGACCCAGCTGGTTTTAATAATTAAGCTATTCAGCTCTGTAAACGAAAATTTCACTGAAAAAATTGTATTTTAACCACCCTGACTAATGAGAATATGATTTGGAATACTATGGTTTTAAGTTATTAGCTCCTTAATCATAAAGTTTCTTAACAATAGGTGTATTTGATTGGTCCTCACAAAGAAAACATACTATGAATAGTTATAGCATTATTAAAGATATCTGATCATACTTTTACTCCGTGTACTATTAAATAAGGTTATCCTACTATTGTATTACTAGAAACGTTTACCTGAATGAATAACCATTGTAAAGAAAAACATATTTTCTACAGCCTAGAATGAAATTAATTTACTGCGTGATCATTGTTTGCCAGATGTGGTATGTTACATTGGTCCTCAATATGAACAATAAACTAGTTTCATTTAAGTCAATGTTTAATTTAATTACAATAAATCACTATCATAGGAAATGGATTAAAGTTCGCCAAAGATCACGGGACTTTAACTAGCTAGTCACAGGTGAAATAATATAATCTTAAGTAAGATAGAAGTAAGTGGAAACTTTTCTATAGTGTAATGTATTGTCATAGAAATTATAGGAACATTTATTTTTAATCAGTAGTCTGAACGAATAGCTCTAGGTCCAAGAACTAAGAATCATGTAGTCAACCACATATTGAGTTGTAGGTACTCTTGTTTAAAGGCTTAAAAACAAGATAAAGCGGTTAGTCGTTGACCTCTATATCTCAACAGCCGTTTAGTCCATATCGTTCTGTTATAGAAAATAACTTAAAGTTACGCTCTTGTTTCATTAACAGTTATAAGACACTGATTGAATCTTAGATTACAAATAATCGTATAAGCGTTATATTTTCATTTTGAGACAATAAATTCCAGACATTTTATGATGGATATGAATGAGTAAATAGATGATGTTAAACTGGTTGACAAATTTAAACTCAAATACCATTACAGAAAAATCAGCCGAATCGCTACAAACAATTATCGATATGAGATATAAAAACAATTTTCTGACCTTTCGATAATTGAGTTTAACATTTCAAAATTAAAATTGATTACATGGATATCCGTAGAATTTTCAATTGACATGATTTGAAATAACTGAACTCTGGATGTTAATAATTTAATGAATTACATAACAAACCATACAAAAACATATTGTTACACATTCAATGTTACTATGTTTATGAACAAATTACTAAACCGTTTACAATTTTAATAATTAATTAATGTCATTATAGTTTGTGGAGATTTCCGATTTTCATTTCACTGGTTGACCTTAGGAAATCATTGAAAAACAGGAAATACTGGACAGCTGTTTTTTTTCGCAGTGAGGGACTTCTCATCAGTAGCCATCCACAACCCCCTCTTGGATCTAGCTCAAGACTTTCAGGTCTCACAGTGGTCGTTTAACATTTAGACCATTTGGTAGGCATATAATGATTTAAATGTCTAGCTTCAAATAATATGTGATGGTAACGACTCAGTAATTTAAAAGATAGGCACTCGCCTCGAGACCTAAAGGTTCTGAGTTCATTTCCAAGTGTGACCGTGGATGCCTAGTTCTGAGGAGCCTTATACTGGAACGAGACGCGTCTCTGGCACTCTCATTCTTTCAAGTAACTAAGGTCAGTTCACTGCGTAAACTTTCAAATCAACTGATAGTTTAGTCTCATCTGTAATAAGCATGCACTGTTATAAAACAATAATTACAGTGATAATAGCATATAGAGCTAGTTATGTAAACTATTAGTAAATTATGTTAACTTAACAACTGTTCATTTTCTTAACTCATAAGAAAAGTAAATAAATTAATTTTAAACCGATTGACAGTTTACTTTAGTGAATGTTTGGATAAATGATAAGGTAAAATATTACTCAACAGTAACATTGAATATTTTCTTATTTTAATCATACATTAATAATGTTTTATTTTATTATTTATTAGAGAGGAGTGAAAACTTTATCAGCTTCATGGAAGCCAACAATGTTATCTAATGAAGAAAAAGGAAAACGACCAATTAATCGAAAACAACGAAGAGATTCCATGGTAAGTATGATAATCTCATGATATATACTGAAAAAGATAATAACACTAAGTTTTATTATCGATAACATAAAAACTACTATTTAGCAAAATATGCTGTAAATAGGTTAAAATGATTGCAGTTTACACAATATTACACATTCCTTATCATTAATTGATTTCATCATAAAATAGCTGTGTTATTCATTTTTAAGTTGATAAACAACATATTTCGTTATGTTTATTGCATATGGAGAATAACCATTATTATACAATAATATTCTATTAGAAAGGAATAATCAACTAATGATAATTCACAATGAAATTATGTTTATTTTAATGTGAAAATTCACTTCAAAAATATAGAACAGTCGTGTAGCTAATGCTCTATTTCATTGTTTTATTAACACTATGATTTCAGTTGTTTAATTTAAGTATTGTAATTCTAAGAAGTAAAAAATGATGTGGTTACGTAGAATGTATTTATGTTCCAATAAACAGTTGGTAGGTATCCACCATATTGTTTCCAGTGATATAGTGCATTTTATCAAAAATGAAAATATTCAAAACTAAGTGTGTGTAAATTTCAAATGTTTATAGCATTGTTGTGAAAAGATGATTATACAAGATATCCTCAATATAGTTATCAGTCAACACTCATATGTGAATATGTTTCTTAGCAACTCGTTACTCAATGTTACCTTTACATTATTAAACTCTAAACTATTAAAAAGATCTCTTCTAAAAGCCGTTATTTGTATGAGAAGACAAAAGATGTGAGACTTAAAAGAAAACAGTGATTTATTTTGAACTTATTTTCGAACCTTCATGACTGAGCTTCATTAAGGTAGGGGGCGCAAATCCTGGATTTCATTGTTAGACACATGTAATCAAATTATGTTGGTGTTACCTAATTTACTGGTGATGTATAATGGTTAGTAATAAATGGAAATTTATTATCAATGTTTCATCTTTATCTAAATCTTATTGTACAACATTCGCTGGACTCAAGATAAACAGAAGTCCTAGTAACTTTTATTTAACTTCAATTTCTTTTTTACAATTCTAAGCAACGAGTACAATTGAAGTTAATTATCAATATATGAAATAGCTTTAAGTAGATATGGTTTAAACAAGACATTTTTTAAAAGATCCTCAAGTGTTTAGCACATCATTTCAGTGATAAGTTTATTTTTAAAACCATATATGTCTTCGTTTGAAGACTTCGGAAATTTTAGAAAGATTATGAAAATCTTAAAAACTGTTTTATTTCAAAGGTAAGATTTTACAGAAGAATGTGAAAAAAAAACGGAACTATTATAATTTAAATAAACGATTAACACTGGAATAAACAGGAATTATAGTAATAAAATTATTTTACTGGAAGTAATAAGGAAGTTCAACTATTGTTACGAATAAATTACTTAGCAATTGTACAGTTTTATACGTGTAATGATGAACGAAATCGATTAAACATTCGGAGAAAATCTGGTAAATTATCTGTATTAAAAAGAACTAGATAAAAAAGTTTAGGTCCCGAACTGATCTGCGTTGAGAATCAACAGTCGTTTCGTTGCAATGTCAGACTCCTTGACAGTGCGGATTCACAACCCCATATGAGGTTGAACCGAGGACCTCCAAGCCTCTTGGCAAGCCCTTAATCTCTAGACTATTCAGTCAGAATTCAATGATTTGTGTGTTTAGCTTTATTCGGTTTGAGATATTAAACAACTATTTCACGTTACCTGCAGTGAGTGAGGACATGATTATTAATAACTATAGGAGTTTATTTAACGAAGACTAGTCTGTGATGAAAACAACTACAACAATTTCCAAAAGCTTTCTATAGTAATAGATAATAATGTGCCCAAAACTGATTAACTTCTAGGGGTTTGTAAATATCACAGTATGAAACTTATATTAGTAGTTATAAACGAATTGTATATAGGTAACGACACAAACTGAAGTTCAAATTGTTTATTTTGTGTCCCACACAAATGATTATATAAATAAAACATAATAAAGCAAATGTCAGATCGATTAAAATAAATCAGGAAGACAATATCAGAAATCACTTGACTTTTTGAAACACAGTTTATAGTGCGAACTTCAGAATACGTTGCATTATCACATAATTTTATAATGACAGGATGCTTGATCATTCTTTCTATAATTAGCCATATTTATTTATTTATTTTAACACATAAATATTGGTACAAGAGAGCGCCAATATATATGCGCCACACAAAACAATGTAACTTCGAAGAGATAGAAAAAAAAAAACCAAGGAGCACAAAAGAGAACGATAACGAAGAGATTGGTGTAATTTAGTGTGGTCGTAACAATGGAACGGAAAAGTACAATCAGAAGAAATCTTTCAAGTAAGGGAGACACAACCACTTTTTATGAAGAAAGTAAAAGAAGGTTACAGCAGGATCGCCACTGGCTTCTATTCTGAGCCATATCTGATAACGTCTCTAGCCACTGTGTAGCACCATCTCTCAGACCCCAACCAGGGAGTCGTGAAGGACCAACACAAGCCAGTCCTTTGCAGCTTTCTTTCATACCACGACACCATGTCATGCACTGACCACCTCTCCGCTTTTTGCAACCAGTCCCAGAGTCGGCAAATAATGCACGACGTGGAATTCTCTGGGACGACATTCGTAGGACATGTCCAAGCCACCGAAGTCGGTGTTTCAAGATGGTGACACCAATTGAATTATCATCTCTGTGCCCAAACACATGATGCCGAACCTCTGCATTACTGACATGGTGTTGCCACTGAATATCAGCAATCCTTCGGAGACAGCGATGATCGAACACAGAGAGTCGTCTAACGTCCTCAACTCGGAGAGGCCAGGTTTCACAAGCATAGAGCAAAACTGCTCTCACCGACGCGTTGTAGATCCGACCTTTTACAGCCAGACTAACATCACGAAGGCGCCAAAGATGGCCCAGATTGGCATAAGCCACTCTGGCTTTCACTATACGTGCATTGATCTCATCACTCACACCCCCACCAGCACTTATGCAACTACCCAGATACACGAACTTCTCGACTACTTCTATCTGCTCACCATCCAGGGTGAGTACAGGATTGGAATCCTGCCAGTCTTGTAGAAGTACTTTGCACTTCGAAGGTGCAAAACACATACCATACCTACGGACACTGATTGCCAACTGATTAAGTGCGGATTGCATGCCTTGGGCATTATCGCACAGTAAGACAATATCGTCCGCATACTCAAGGTCGAGAAGTCTTTCTCCAGGCAACAGATCCACACCACCATTACTTACATTCAACAGAGCTGTTTCCAGAATGTCATCGATGGCAAAGTTGAAGAGGAATGGTGAGATTGGGCAAATCTGCTTAACCCCACTACCCGGATGGAACAATGGAGAGAGGTGGTTGTATGCCCTCACTCTGCCTGAGGTGTTTTTATATAGGGCTTTTAGGATGTTAATAAACTTCTCAGGCACACCCTTCTTCAATAGACAATCCCAGAGAACAGTCCTGTCCAACGAATCGAAGGCAGCCCTGATGTCAAGAAACACTACGATTGTTGGCCTTTGATAAGTATGGCGATGTTCTAACATTTGGCGGAGGGTGAAGATATGATCAATACATCCTCGACCAGAACGAAACCCAGCCTGCTCCTCGCGAGTCAATCTTTCCCGAGTTTTGAACAACCTACGAAGTATGACGGAAGCCAATAGCTTGGACGCAATCGGAAGTAGACTTATCCACCGATAGTTGTTACAGGAACGACGTGAACCCTTTTTAAAGATAGGGACAATTATCGACTCATTCCATGACGTTGGTACACACTCTAGTTCCCAAACCTTTGTAAACAACGTCGTCAATTCCTTAGTCAGAAAGTCACCACCATCTTTAAAAAGAGCCGGAGGTAAGTCATCTGGGCCAGGTGATTTGTAACGCTTCAAGAGTTCGAGTTCCTTGCGGACTTCCTCCTCGTTTGGTGGATCAGTCGTCACCGGCCATGGAGGGCAGGACAGCCTGACCGATGTTGCCGGAGCAGCAGGCCAGTTGAACTGCCCTTCGAAAAATTCTGCCCATCGTCCAAGACGTCGATGGATGTTAGTGATTGGCATCCCATCATCCTCGCAGATTGTTTCACTCACACCAGACTTCTTGCTGCCAGTGGCTCGGATGAGCTGGAAGAGCTTCCGGTAGTTACCAGATGCAGCTGCTGCTTCCAGCTCATTAGCACGCTCCGACCACCAGGCTTCTCGGTCCTTACGCAAGCTTTGCCCAATTTCCCTACGTAACATCCTTCGTTTATGGTCAAACTCACGGTCACCCGGAGTAGACCGACGGGCTTCAATGAGTTGTAAGGAACCAGAAGAAACCCAGTGCTTAAAAGCGGGACGTTTCGCAAACCGACAACTGACTGTTTCCGCCATTTTCATGGCGTCAAGCAATTGCAACCAATGCTCATCTATACCTTTCGGTGGAGTGGTAGCTAGCCTAGAGGCTAACTCGGTTCGATACTTATTTGCAACAGAAGTTGCAACCAGCTTGCTAACATCAATCCGTTGGTGGCGGTCACTTCGTTGTCCATTGAAAAGTAAGGCAAGATTGGCGCAGACCAAGGCATGGTCAGAGTCCAGATAGGTACTCCAAAAGGAGCGGCAGTCTTTTACACAACCACGCCAGCGGAAGCTGATCGCGATGTGATCAATCTGAGTCCAGGCTTGGGATGCAGAGGGAGGACGCCAGGTGGCACATCGGCGATGACTGTGCCGAAAGTTAGTGCTAGCCAGAAACAGGTTGTGGTCTGTGCACAGTTGCAGTAGACGGTCCCCGTTATCTGACCTGCGACCAACGAGTCCCCATCGGCCACCTAAACGACTCTCTTCTGTGCCTAGACGCCCGACCTGAGCATTCAAGTCTCCGGCTAGTACTACAATATCTGTCGAGCGCACTTTCTGGAGAAGAACAGATAACTGGTGGTAAAACTCATCCTTGATTGCATCCGGGCTGCAATCTGTCGGGGCATAGGCGGAGATGACGAAAAGACATCGTTTCTCACGCCGATTTCTTCTCACTTTGATGGAACTTTCTAATCTAACAGCACATAGCCGACTGTTAATGGGGATCCAATCAACTAGTGCTGCCTCAGCTCTAGCGCTTAGTGCGACACCAACGCCAGCAAGACCAAACGAAGATGCCACAGGGTCCCCGGATAAGCGCACGTGAAACAAGCTTTTCGAAGCGACAGATGGAGATCGAATTTGTAGTACTTCGCCAGAGTCTTGAATACGGGTCTCGGATAGACAACAAACATCAATATTAAGACTTTCCAAAGACATAGCCAGCCCTATCTGTTGTCCGACCTGCACTAGTGTGCGAACGTTGAAGGCAGCCAGTTTGAATGGTGCACGTGGTTTCAGAAAAACTGCTTCAGTTTTCGTAATCGGTGGTAACATACAATTTTCAACCGGACAGTGACTCGAGAACGTTTAGATACAGTCGAATTTCCACCAAAGACGAGCCGCTGTATAAGTATAAAAGAGGGAGAACAATGTGGAAAATAATAATAATAATGACAATAATGGTACTAATAATAATAATAATAATAATAATAATGACAATAATGGTAATAATAATAGTATTATTAATGACAATAATAGTAATAATTATTGGAATCGATTGATTATATATCGGAGCGAGAAAATTCGTTGCCATAGTCATAGAGTTCATCGTTTGTGTGTGGGCTGTGATACTGCCCGGGTGCCCAAACCGAAGCAGGTGGTTGTCTTAGGGGGCCACACCCCGAGCCTTTGACCAAATGGTCTAACCCACAAGGCAGTGGAGCATCGTAAGGAGATGCAATCCCATGGTAGCCGGTGACCAACGATTGGTTCATACGCCATTTGTTCCCGCAGGATACTGGAGCCCATGTGCACCATTGGTTTGTGATCCGGTTAAAGCGCCGGACGTTCGCTTTTCGTCCTCTCATTTTCGTAAACAACACCCCTGCCGCGAGAAGGCAATGAGTAGGACTTCCCTGGCAGAGGCTGTATACGCGCGGCCGTGTGAGAGTATTTCGAGAGGGAGAGCGGACTCTCCCCACTCTCGGCCGTACCAGGGCGTTCGGGGGCAATAAGTTTGAATCTAAGGTGGTACACTAAATTTACGAGCCATAGTTAATATCTTCTAGGTCAACGGATCATAACTTTGATTAGTATATCTAACTTCATTCGTAATTTGCAGCCAAGGTAAACAGCTTGTCTGAAAAACAATATTTCATAAAAATTTCAAATATTTAAGTGAAGTTTGAATCTTAATTGAATTTGGCCACAACACCAGCGGACAAATAACTTAAAAATATATCTAAACATGCTTTTTGTAACACAGTTTCAAAGTTTGTTGTTATTTACTTCTCGAATTCTCCTTATGATGATTGCTTCTCTTGGATTGCCAAGTGCATAAGGCAAGACACTATTCTACAATCTGAGTTAGTGGGTTTTAAATATTTTCGGAGCATCAATAAGTTAAACTACTTATTGCATCAATGACAATCGATCAAAATGTACGGATAATTCACAGGTTTTTTATTTGATTTTTTTAAAACACTTCTATTTCCATAGTCGTATTGCATACAGCAAGTTTTTGATGTCTAATGTTCACTAATCTAGACAGAACATATCAATGATCACCTAAAAGAAGCTTTTATAGCTTGATACTTCTGACAGTATTCAAATAATCATATTGTTTCAGCGAAATAAATCTATTAGTATTCCTCTGTTTCACTTAGACTGATAACTAGTGAACATAACTAATTAAATAAAAACAAAATTTCGCTGACATGGGATCAGATTTCAAGTTTCCTTTTTACGGTAAATGAATAAACAGAATTTTTCGAAAAATATTTTTCTATAGTTTTTACTTTTAAAACTGAACAGTAGACAATTCAGTATACATATTAGTTAGTTTTCTATATTTGTTTTCTCGATCTGCTTGCTCTATACTGCTTACGTTTGTATAATGTGAAATTTCTAATATTTATAGTATGAAAAAGGATATGGTAAACTTTCATCTTACAAAATATACGAAAAGTTGGGTGAAGTGAGTTTCTTATCTCAAATATCTTGATAATTATAAAAAGTCGGTATACATTTGTGGAAATTGATGAGTTTAAATTGATATCATGAATGAATCAATGTCAAACCACCACTGAAAACTTCGGAGAACTAGACGATTCCTTCGCTTTAGTGTGGAACTGAGCGGTGTGCATCCACAATTCAATATGCGCGGCTCGGACCTAGAATCATTGGTTTCGCAGGCGAATGCTCAGCCTTTAAACTACTGAGGAGTCCTACACCGGGACGAAACGACCGTTCAGTTCTCCCAGGATTTCAGTGGTGGTCTAAAATTGACCCATTCATGATATTAGTTTAAAATTATAAAAAGATTGATTAATTTACATTTTATCCACAATAAAATATTTACTTGATGTCAATACTCTAACACATCATTTTACCGATAGCAATATGTTATTTAATACATCACTCATTATCAAGTGTTGAGTAATTATTATTTTAATTTCTTCACTTATGATGCTATAAAGTTTTCGAATCACATTCAAACCTGTCAATTTTTAATGACTGGATTTAAGAATCCTGTAGTGATCATATGACTAGCCTGATCCAACTAGTTTCAAAGTTCTAACCAGAATACTCAAAGTAAATTAGTAATTTGAGATATGTAATCAATAATTATTTTTTATATTTATTCTGATAGTCATAAATAAATATGAAAAAACAATTTTCAAGTGTATAAAACATATATTATGTTTTGGAACAATATATTGTGTTCATTCGTAAAATATTTTTATAATACTGAATTGATCGCCCTTTCTACTGGTATTCAAAACCATTCATCTTAGTATTGATTTCGCAATTTTATAATTTTGCAATATTATGGCATCCTCTTTTAATCAATCCTAATGTATCAGATACACATTTAATATCACACATCTATTTCAGTTACTGTAACAATAATTCTAGGCGTTCTTACATTAATACATAAAAACGATTGTGGTATAAATGGAAAGATCATAATATTTTACATTGTATCCTCATCGAAAAATCAGTTTAATAAATATTTTATTTACAATATCATGCCATATAATTTTTGGATTTTAATTAATTTTTTATTATTTCTGTTTAAAACACAATAAAACTAACTTCAAGGGAACATATGCAACTGTTTATAAGGGTTATAGCTTAGTCTCTAAACAATTAGTGGCTTTGAAACGAATACGTATGAAAAAATCGGAAGGTGCACCGTGTACAGCTATACGTGAAATTAGTCTTCTTCGTGGATTGAACCATGCAAATATTGTGAAACTGCACGATGTTATTTATGAGGCCGGTTCATTGACATTGGTATTTGAATATGGGGTAAGTTGTTTTCTCTCTTTTCTTTTTTCCTTTCTGTGTTCAATAATTGTGATAACCAATAACATTGAATAATTTTCATTTATTCTTACCATAGGTTTTTGTGTAATTCCGGAGGTATGAACATATCAACTGGTAAATGTTTTCTACGATTAGTAAATACGGTAGATAAATTCTGAGATAACTTGAAGTATGCGTTGATATGACAGTTTACTAGCGAATAATTGTGTTTACGAGTGAAATGTTCTAAAACCTTCTTGTTATATTTATTATTAGTTGTGAAATCTGTTTCTTTATTATCCCTTAACAATTAACATTGTTATATATATATGTATATAGTAGAATAAAACATTATAAAGGTCGGACTGAAAGTAATACCGTACGTTTATGCACATGTGTCTTATACATATTCTCCCCATAATTATAAATTTTCTAAATGTCACATGTAATATCTCTTCAAAAACAGAACTTATACCTTGATAAGGCCCGCTAGTGATGAAAGATAACATTTTTACTAACTTCCGTAGTATTGTTTTGAAGGTGGATTAAAATGTTTATACTTCACTTCAAATTTATGAACAATGCATTGAACGAGTATATTTTAGAATGTATTTATAAAAGGATCAATATAATATTTTGATCATTTTAGAGCTACATGGACATATAAATTGAGTGATATTTCACGTTAAGTTCACGTAACTTTGTGATATGATTCCATAAACTTAATCTCTGATTTTGACTGTTTTTCTTACTTCACTAGAATTAAAATCTGTTTGTCGTATTTGATTTCATAGACACTGAATTCTAACGAATCAATTGTACTATTATATATATATACTAAGATAACTATTAAAAAATGCAAGTTTATTCCGTAAATGATCAAATACATAAGTATATATCATGAACTACGCTTCATATAATCAAATATTTACGCATTATACAAATAAACTAATCTTAGATGTTAATTTATTACAAAAATAAACAACAGCGCTCATGAATCACCAATTGTTTTTCAGTTTGTAAATATATATTATGCATAAATTCATACGTATTGTGATAAATGTGCAATATCATAGTAACTCATATGAATGTGAACAATAACAACAATTTTACTTTAATTAAAGAAAAGAAAATTGATATTCATAAGTATCTATGTATATTACATTACAGTAATTAACATACATTGTTTAAAGTTAACTCAATTATTTTCTTAGTAACTCTTATGATAAATTTAGTAGTAACAGTTACAATATATATTCCGATTTCACATAATCTCTGTTACCCTTTATTGTTTCTGTCTTGTTTTCTCTACATCTATGAAGTGTATATTTTTTTCTTTTTAAGAGTTAAAAAAAATGATACTTCATTGTGTTTTATTTTTTTAAATCATTTGTCTATCTGTAATAATAATTATTTATCACAATGATCTGGATTTAAAATATTTTCTGATCTTGTGATAATCGACTTTACTTTATATCAATCTTTTCTTTTATGGAAGAAATACACTTATCTAATTTCTTACGTCGATTACAAGGCACGAAGTTTAAATATTTCTAATATAGAATAAAAAATATTTTACATGTGTTCAATTAACAATGATTAAAAGAATTGTTTAAATGATAAACTGTGACAATCCTGATTTTGTGAATGAGTTCTCACTGATTATACAAAAAATATATAACCAAGTATTAATGTTTCTTATGACTATGAAATTATTAAGGTTTTCTACGATTTTTTTTCGATTTCCTACTGTTGATAATTTACTAATATGCATTCATTTAAGTCAAATTATCAGTTCTTTTCGAAAAAAAAATGTCTCTACAAATAAAATGAGTACTATAAGTTTACTTATTACAGAATATTTATTTATTTGTTGAAATAAATGTCATTCTTCAGGTCTTATATTTCACTAAATGATAAAGGCTTCGACAACTATTCACTACTGGTTATTTTACATAAACAGTCTAAATTGAACATACTCTTTTATATGTAGTAGTATAGATACTATTATTATATGGGCGAAAGAGATGTATAATACTATACATTCTAGTTTTCAATGATTTAGTATCTGAAAATAACATTTTCAACAATACAAAACAGTAATAATGTGATGAATTCGACAAAGAGTACTTATCATTAAGCTAATCATTATTATAAAAATATATTTGACAGTAAATATTTCCATCTATGTTGTAAAACTACTGGGTGAGTATCTTCAATATAACAAACATGGTAATTAGTCAGCATTTTAATAAGGAAACAGATTTTTAATGTCATAAAATAAAGTACTCTAGACATGTATCACACATATTATCCCGAAATGCACGATTCCAGTTGTCGGTGATAAATTCTCTGACTGTACGTAATGACTATCTTTAAAAAACGATTTAAAAAATGAGTAAATATATGATTCATTTACGCCCAAATTTGGTGATATACGTTTATCCATTACTATATGTCTTAGGTCCTTCAGTGTTAAAGATGAAAACATTTAAGGTAAATTTAAACAGTGTACAGTTAACTCATTAAAAAAGCGGAATTAGTTACATGAAATCTACTTTTTAAAATTCTAAGTATTTTAAAGTACTGGAACTGATAATTGTAAACTATTATCATTTAAAGAGTGATAGTAGGACCAAATAAACATGTTTGTAACTGTAATGAATTTTTAAAAAGTCAATTAAATATAGTAGTCCAAAAGTAGTATTTAACATTATTAATCCGACCTAAAGCTGAATTATCATTTGGATTTCAATAAAGCAACGAATTTGCAAATAAGTGTCTAGGATTATTTTCTACATAAGCATATAGCAAAATTTTCACTAAACGATCAGTAGACTTCATGTAATAGAATGAAGCATTCTCAGAGACAACTGAAGAATTCAGAAGCACAACTGAATTCTATAGCCACAGATTGCTAGTTTATTCATTCTCATCACAGTCTTAAAGAAACAACATTATTCAAGATATTGATTATCGCCGTATCAAGTTGATCGGATAAAGTTGCAAATAGCTGTTGATAAATAGCATGCTTAACTCATTTTTAAAATTTGTTTCTTAGTTTATATTTGAATTTCTTATTCATTAGTTATTTTAGCAACATCACTTCTTTTACGATTTTCAATTAACTAATTCTTCACGTTCACAAACTGATATATCTTTAAATATTAGAAAACAGATTGAATGGGAGTGTCCGAATTCTTGTTAATAAGTATGCATTAATAGATCTGTAGTTTAAGCATGAATGGAACATAAAAAGGAACATAACCGGTTCTTTTTATTAGTGAAATAATAAGTAAATACGTTAACAAAATGCTATCTTTCATTTTTAGATGACTAATAATTACGTGTTTATTTAGTATTCTTCAATGTGGTGTTGTGGAGAGTGTTGAGTTTCATTGAAATGATGGACCAATCAATGTTAAATCCCCACCGAAAACCCAGAATAACTGGAAGGGCGTTTCGTCTCAGTATTGGACCCGTCGATAGTGCGCATCTACGATGCCTTATGTGGGACTCGAACTCAGGGCCTTCGGTCACGTGGGCTAACTAGTTACTAGCTTAGAGAAGTAATCCTCAGAGTTCTAGTGAGAATCCGAGACCATTGGAGTTCAACCGTTTCGAATGTGAGACAGTTACAGACCGAAGACAACGGAAGATGGTCGCGCAACATCGTAGATTGCTTGAAGTTAAACATTAACACCGATGGATGCTGGCACGATGGTTTTGAGTTTAGTCGTTCGTGTGAGACCTAACATCTTGAGTTCAAGTCATGTGTGAGGGTTTGTGGATGTGCACTACTGAGCAGTCCGATACTGGAAAGAAACGGCTGCTCCCAGATTTTCAGTGGGGGTCTAACACTGATCAGTTCATAATTCCAATAAAACATTTATTAATCATTGTGAATTTTCTCTGCTTATGTTATTTTCTGAGCACTATTTTATTATGATTATATTTAAATAAATCATATTGAATTTAATAATGGAAAATGTGACGCTGTATCATGTTTATTTTACAATATTTCTCATTATATTTATTCGTCTTGCCATTTTTTTCAGGGAAGTGATCTCAAAAGCTACATGAGAATGCACAATAATCGTTTACCTATGAATATCGTCAGATTGTTCACTTTTCAAATATTTCGAGGTCTTGAATACTGTCATGCAAGACAAATATTACACCGGGATTTAAAACCTCAAAATTTATTAATAAGCAAAACTGGAGATTTGAAATTGGCTGATTTTGGTAAGAACAAATTAACTGAATATTAAACTCATTCAAAAGAATTACTTTATAAATGAGTATTACTTCACTACTGTTTATTTATTATTATTCATTAGAAAAGCGTTTGTTATATTTGAACTCTTGTGAAAATGATTATTTTAAGCGAACCACGGAATATGTATAAATATTTTAATTGCTGATTTTGAGCGAATTAAGTGGTTTAATTTGTTTGTTATGGTTAGTATATTTTAGTAAAGTTATCTTCTACGGGGTGGGATTGCCGACCCCATGCCCAACCATCCTCGTTTACCCGGAGTTGGGATCGTTAGTAACCCTAGAAGAGCTGCTGACGGACACGCAAGAACCAGAAGAGGAACTGACATTGCATCAAACCACCACCATCTAGTGGGTGCCCAAATGTGACTGAAGCTAAAGAAGCAATTTACAACTGGACAAAATAATATTACAAAGGGTTAATACAACCTTCCTTCAGTATACTGAAAAACTCAACCAATTCAACATAACTCTCGACACAGGGTTCCAAGCCTTACAAGATCTACTCGCTAAAGACGAAACTACTATGAAGAACAATTGGAATGGGTTCAAATAAGCATTAAATTCAGCGTGTCAGAGGGTTCTGGATCGCAAAAAGCGTCATCAGGAAGAATGGATCTTCATCAAAACCTTGGACAAGATTAAAAAAAAATGAAAAAGAAGACTGTAATTATCGACAGCAGAACGAGAATAGAGAAAGACAAGGTACAGACTGAATACACCGAAGCAAACAAACAAGCTAACAACAGCATTAGTGCCGATAAACAGAAATAGTTGGAAAAGCTAGCAACAACAGCGAAAAAGGCATCAAGAGAAGAAAATATGACACAGGTATATGACACAATGAAGAAACTGACAGTATAGTAAACCAGAGAGACCGATCAACTCTTGAGTAGGCTAGCCCCACTGAACACACAGGACATTGAAACAGCACAAACAAACCTTCCTATAGATGTTACTCCACGAACGACCGAAGAAATCAGAACGATCGTCAGATAAATCAAGAGTGAAAAAACATCTAGACCTGACAATATACCGGCTCAATCACTCAGGCCAGACATAGAACATAAATGCAAACATGCTCCACATTCTCACCAGGAAGGCTTGGGTGGAGGAACAAGTGCCTACAGACTGGAATGAAGGATATCTTATCAAGATACAAAAGAAAGGAGATATAAGCAATTGTAAGACATACACAGGGGTCACACCAATATCGATACCATGAAACATTTACAACAATGTGTCACTGGATCAAATGAAAGATTCAGTGGACTTTCAGCTTCGAGATCACCTATCTGTCTTTCGTGTGAACCGAAAGTGCACAGACCGATTCGAGACACCACAGATCATCATTAAACAATCAATTGGATGCAACTCGTCACTACACATAAACTTTCCTGACTATGAAAAGGTGTTTGACGGTGTGGATATGAGAACATTATGGAGACTTCTTCGACACTATTCAGTGAATAACTGAGAAGATTGTCAACATCACATGGAAACCATACGAAGGGCTACACTGCAAAGTCGTGCATGGTGGACAACTGATAGACGCGGTTGACTGGACTTTGAAGACCTCGACATCTGAGGCGAAGCACGGAATACAATAGACAGCTTGCATGTTATTAGACGATTTGGACTTCGCAGATAACCTAGCTCTTCTGTTTCATGAGCGCCAATGAGTGCAGGTGAAAGCAAGCAGTGTAGCAGAAGCCTATGCATCAGTGGGCCCCAACAAACAAAAGGAAACAAGCAAAATCTTCAAATAAAACACGGAGAACATCAACTCAATCATACTTGATATAGAAACTCTGGAAGAGGTGGAAACCTTCACGTATCTGGTCAGTATCATCGATGAATAAAGAGGACTTGATGCTGACGTAAAGGCGAAGACTGGCAAAGCAAAGACAGCATTCCTACATTTGAAGAACATTTGGAACTCAAAAAAACTGTCAACCAATACCAAAGTCATGATTTTCCATATGAACGTAAAGACATTTCTACTGTTTGGAATTGAAATGTGAAGAGCTACCAGAACCAAGATACAAGTATTTATAAACAGTTGTGTACACAAGATACTCAACGTTAGTTGGCCGGATACTATCAGTAACACTTTACTGTGGGAGAGAACATGCCATCGTCCAGTGGAAAAAAAATTAGGACAAGACATTGGAAGTAAAAAGGACAAATATTTGAGAAATCACCAAACTACATCACGAGGAAAGCTCCAATGCGGAATCATGAAGGGCAAAGGAAAAGAGGAAGATCAAATAACACGGTGAATCGGGAATTGGAAGCAGACATGAATGAAAAGGATGAACAGAAACTGAAAACAGGTAGAAAGGATCGCTCAGTAAGGATTTGGATGGAGATTGTTGGTGGGCGGCTTATGCTCCTCCACGAAGGGGTTAACAAACCCAGATAAGTAAGCAAGTAAGTTTGATCGAAGGATGTATACAGTTGTAATTAAATATTGTTTTCCACATAATATATGATGGTTAATAATTTCAAATAATTAAGAAGCTGAAAAAAATAGTGTATTCGAACTTTGTTATCCATAATTTCTCAACAGCTAGCCTAGCCAGCTGAGAAGTGATGTTGCATTCATTATTTTTACTGTCAATACTGGTGCCCGTATATCTGTTCTATTTAATTAATTTAACTTACATTAGTACAGGGAAAGAATGTGCCTTATTTGGTTCGAGTAGTTTACGTATGATTGCCTTTGATATTTCGGACACTGAAAACTATATGTCAGCAATGAACTAAAATAAATCACAATGTACAAATCTTGGTTCAGTGAGAGTTATTCGGTGTTCTAGGCACTTATTTGGTTGAATATCTCCACAAGTCAAATCTTATTGTGAAAACATATGACAATATATGCAATGCATTACAATTAGGGTTGTATGACCACACTTTGCAAAATGACTAAGTGCATCTTCTAGATCAAACACATCGATGATCATAACAAAACATGAACAGTAGGGTCAAATATAAAAATGTTAACTACAGTGATATGTGAGCAGTGAGTGGGGACTTTGGCGTGGAAGATCAAATTATTATATTATAGAAAAATTACAGAATGCCTTAATAAAATATGTAAACCATATTACATACATTATTTGCACATCTTCCTTCAGTTGTCCTTTGCATGCTTCATGGTTCTTTCAATTTCGTTGTTTTTAAAATTGCTTTCTGTTCCCCTTTTTGTTCTATTCAATTCAATCTTCTCAATGCTCTGCTGTCAGGCATTCCACATTCGATTGCTGATACATACTACTTATATCTGTCAGTATAAGTGGTATGTATCACATGTGTACATATAATTAAATTCTTAATATTATAATCCTTCGTATAATTTTCCCAATCTGTTTTTGAATCATCTGTACGTCGTACTAAACAGAAAAATTGTACATAATTATATTTACAAAATGTTTGTCACAAAAGAAAAATGACTAAGATTCTTTTGAACTGTTAATGAGTGATAAATATCGCTATTGTAAAATATTCACAAGAGAAGATTACAAGGCTTAATTATGATCACCCTCCATTATAAAACGGACAACAAATGGTCAAATGTGAATTTTAAGGGAATAAATTAGTTCTAGTCCTTATACTTTGGATTTCTTTAGTGGTATAAATCAGTTCGATATTTAATACACTAATAAGGATGAGCTTCCTAGCTAGAAATGAGAAAACAATTACCAAGATATTAATTGAATATTTTGTACATCTTGTCTTTTTAGTGAAACTTTCATGCTTACTATTGTTGATAATATATTTGAATGTTTGGCATTGATACATGTTAAATCTAGTTAATTATACATTTTTATCAGGATCATGTCAGTTTAATTTAATCAATCACTATCATGATAATACTTGAAACATATTTAATTACAATCTATAAACACTCTTGTTTTGAAGACGTTGACTGATTAAAGTTTCACGGCTTAACGCTGTTCATGATATTTTCTAGAACCTTTTGTCGTAGGCCTATTAACGTTTGGTAAAATATTGATATGATATTATTGATTTGTTTACCAACTAACTATTAATCTTTACGTAATAAGTTTAATTAAGATGAACATTACTTCATAAATTATTCATGAGGTTCTTCTAAGAGTTAAGTGAACATATTTTTTTACATTTGATATACTACATTCTACACTTCAGCGTAATAGCAATAGTAATAGTAGTAGTGGTAGCAGAAGTAGTATACAAATTTCTGTGGAATTGCTGATCAAGATTTTAAAAGGATTTTCATCACATGATCGTTATCTAGTTTATCAGTAAAAGCATTTCTTATTTTTTATTAGACTTGAGATTATTAGGAAGTTATGTGTTACTGAAATATGTAACCTTTCAGTATATCGATAGTTTCTAAAAGTTTCCTCGTGAAATGTAAATGTGATTTGAAAGTAAAATTACCTTCAAAATTTCCGTAATTATAGACTATATAATTTGTGCAATAACAACTTATAGTAGATTTCCATTTTATTTACTGTGTTAGGATTCAGAATAATACTAATTTAAATCTTTTTCAGCCAAAATCCTAAATGTATTATGTATTTCAATACTATTTATATGATTTTGCCATTAATATTTGAAACACAGCTCTCAATAAACACAAACGTTGATAGTGTTAGAATCATCAACCTCATATACACTATTATTTGTTGGTTATCATGATATGAAATGAAGGATAAGTGTTAAGTAAATATTAATAATGGAAATCGCAAACTGATCTTGGCTAGACCAGGTTTTTATTTTTAGTTTAGCTAAGGTCAATTTCTTGATTTCAACTGTGAAAATACTACAACCTACACAAACCCAATTAGTAGCAGTTGAAGACAATTTATCTATATTTTGCTTTGAATGAATTAATAGTGTTCTTCGTTTGAAAAAATGCAAATATATTGAAACCCTAGGCAAATAAAATTGTTCAAAGTTTTTCTAGTGTATTACTTATTATTCTGAATGTTAATTGTAATTATTATCACAAGCAGAAAGCTGAAAACAAATAAAAAACGTATATTTAAAATACAATGCCAGTTGATCAGTTTATGATGTAAGCAATTCTACCTGAAAACAACTATTCTTTTGTGTTTCTATGCACATGATGTTGCCGAAAATCATCAAATGTTTTCGGTCAAAAGTATTCGTAAAACAACTAAAAATTTCAAATCTACAATAATATTCTGAAACTAAACCATATTTACCTGTATTGTCACTCAATCATTGGTATTTGTATAATTTTTTGTGTCAAGATGACATGTAGAGTATTATTCGTTTATTCTCTTAACTATTCCAAGTTTGGCTTGGATATAAACGTCGATATAACTAGTATCATCTGTACATGGAAAATGTAATTGAAGGTCTTACAATCAGATAGAAATATTATTCATTTAAAATGTTTATTATAAACTCTATAATTTTCTCAAAACATCATAGTTTCTTCATGTACACAAAAAAGATTTACACGCAACCAGTAGTGATATGAATACATAGATGATAGATTTAATGGCTTCAGCAGTAATTAAAAATAATTCCTATGAATGCTACAGATTTATCTTGATCATGACGAGTAATGCATTCAAACATCTTAAATCTACAATTTCACGTCAATTACATTAGAAACATTGAACAAAACTAGCTATTCTAATTTCATTATTATTCACTCTTGCGTCACATGGGAATAATGTAAAAAGATCTTTTTAAGTGACAATTAACATTTCAATATTTAATTAGAAACTAACATTAAGATAAACTCTTTATAGTCATTGAAATAAATCTAGTTGATGAGTTGCAATGCATTTTCTTGACAAAAAACCACACATTAAAATGATTAAATTGAAATACGATAGTGCGCGTTATTGATCCACTGCTATTGTAAATTTCATAGTATACATATGAACATGTATAATTAATAAAAGAGATATAAATGGTTAAATAACAGAATGGGGATACATAAGAAAACAGCGATTTTCCATCGAATAATGTCGTTTTTTATACACTATGATCTAACTGCCAATCAATTTAAATACACGAATTAAAAAAGAAAATTTGTATTTACGACATTATTATTTAAACAAACCACATGAAAGCTAAAATTCAAACCAGAATGAATTTTAAATAAAGCACAGATAAAATCACCGTAATTTATCCGTTATATGTTAATCGAGCTTTTCACAAGTATTTACGTAATTATCTAGGGTTAGCCTTGAATAATATACACCAACGATTGTATAAAATTGAGAAATTTCTAGTACAATAAATTAAGTGAACATTAGTTTAACAGTATCATCTTGTTATCTATCAGCTTAAAGCATGCTGATAGACAATATTCAATATTCATTAGATGAAGTTGTTATTCGTTCACTATAGAATAGCCTACACCATTATTTACTTACATCTTGACCAGATCAGTGAATTTACAGTTTACTGTGCATAACTGAGTTAGTAACAAGTTGATGCCATAATGTTGAGGTCATTAAAAATGTCATGTATTTAAATCATCAGTGAGTTGATTCTTCACGTACTAAATTTTTCGATAAAGTAATATGACGCTTACCAATCACAGCATAAATATTTTTTTTCAAAATATAATCATTAAATGTCAATTATTCAGTAGTACACAGTTTCATCTTAAAAACCACCTTCATTTATTATTACTACTTGGTGGATTTACCAACCTCTAAAGTTATTTAATTTTAACTTAAATGTTGGATAAACTGTTTTTAATTGCAAAATATGTTATTTTGAATATAACAAAACTGTATCATCAGTAAAGTGAATGACAATGTGCCAAATTACCACCAACTGATACACGAAAATGTTTTATACAGGTCCATTAAGTAACAAAATATTCAAACTAGAATAGGATTGAAAATCATGAAAATTATTTACAAATGAAGCAGAACAAAAATACCCTGCTGTCAGTTCGAAGCGGGTGACTGATGAACTAAATGAATAACCATACAGCTGGTTATTAGAACTTATCCATTAGAGTCGATTTACAGGGATAGCGCGTAAACTATAACATGTCGTTCATTTGTATCGACGTCTCGAAAACTATTTATGTACACACGGATAATGATTAAAGTCACACAAATATGTGAATGATGTCAAAAATCAACTAGTGTTTACCAAGCTATTATTCTTGCTTTTGCTCAGCTAAGTTATGCAAACCATCTAAAATGAATAACGAAGAGATTATGAAATGATTTTGCCACTTATTGTGTTTGCAGAAAAGGTTTTTAAGTTTAACGAAGAAACATTACATGTATTTATTCAGGTTCACTGAACTATTCCATTCATCATTTTTTTTCACCTGTTTTAAAACCTACCTGTTAAATAATATCTTTCAAAGTTCAATTTTGAGATTTTTATTTAGATAGTTTATTGATTCTCTTGTTTTAATTAACTGTTGATAATCTTTAATTCAGGATTGGCACGTTCACAGTCTGTACCGATTAGAACATATTCCAGTGAAGTTGTAACACTCTGGTGAGTCAGTGAGTGAGTAAAATGCTTATTTTAACAATAACTGTATTTTTATATTTTGTAAACTAATTGTTAAGCATAATGCACCTTGAACGTGGTGTAACGATTTTTTAAAATAAAATACCAAACTCCATTTATAAAAGGCGTTCATCATTAAAATCGATTCCTATTGTTCCAAGTTTAAATCATGTAACCTCAAATGACTAGTGTTATGATTATTTTGTTATTTTAATCATTTATATTATCATCCACTGACCATGGTTTAGCGCTTTTATCGGAGAAATTTCAAGTTATTTAAGGTTTATAAACCATATTCTTGTCCAATGACTAACTTAAAAAATTCATAAATCATTTATACCTTTTATGTAAATCGACTGTAGTTTTTGTAAAATTACACTGGAAATAATCAATCACGTTGCATTAGGTATTCAGAATAAACTGTTGGATATTGCTGTCACTGAGAAACTGAATATGATTAAAAACCAGTTTATAAGTTTCCATTTTTAAAGAGAACTTCTAATAACAGTTGGATCTGTAAGTTACCAAAGCATATTACCAATAAACTTTGATTAATATGTGGTATATTGCTATTTAATACTTATAGTTACCAGTGAATTTGCTAGGTCACATCTTTTTATGCTGTTTAGTAGATGGTAGTTTTGACACAACACTTGATCTTGTTTATGAGGAAATCCACTGAAATCTAGGGGCCACTGCAAATAACATTATGCGGTCTTGTAATAAATAACTGTTTATTACAATAAGTCTTTGAAACAAAGAAATTGTAATTGCATATATATATGGAGAGAGAGTTCTCAATTATTAACCGAATATAATACAAGCTAAATTCCATTAATTCAAAGCCTAAACACGGACTCAGATCTGTTTTTAGGCTAAATTGTTCCTTTTAATCATTATAGTACAACTTATGTACTCAAACTAATGTCATGAATTTTTTATCAAATGCATGAACTGCAAGTATTGTTTTTTTAACTGCTACTCCGCACATGATTACTTTTTCCGTTATTAGTGATGTTCTACAGAAATTATTTCCTTTTTTATTTCAAATAGCATAGATTTATGGAACAAATATGATAATCACTAATTGTGTTTAATTTGAATCCTTCTACATGGAAAAAGAAAGAGCTCTTGCTATCGGGTATACTAATGAGAAACTGAAGTAGAATTAGGTTTACATAAACCCACAATTCATTGTTTAACATTTCATTACATTTGCATGCCTTAGTTATTTCTTCAGTCATTTTAATACTCTTTCAATAGTAAAACTAAATCAGGTATGATGTATTTGACTAAAAGATAATAAATTTGGATACTACTTATTGACTTAATAATATTAGCAGAATTTTTTTAACCACATTATTACATACGACTTACAAATATACACAAACATATACACACAGAGACAAGGCACATTTCTCGATATTAAAAAACGTAACAACTAGTGTGTATTTATCTCAGTTACTGCAACACACTCAAGATAAAATCAAAAATCCAAACTAAAATCAATAATAATTTAACAATGAAACTGAAGAAAGTATTTTTTTTTGTTTTTTAACAAGTTAATTCATTACCATTAATATCATCATCATCACTACACTCAGTCATTAGCTTTATATAGTAAATTCAACACCATATAATGCAATCAATTAAATTGTTCAAGTAATAGTCATGATGAACATTTGTATCAGGAAAACTGAATTAAGAGTATTTTGTCAATTTGAAGTTGCATGTGATGGTAATAACAATAATAATTTTAAAAAGTACTCGAAAAATTTCTAAAGATATTGTACTTGTATCAAACTCCAAAATTTTATATGAGATGAAACAAAAACAGACTTCATTGGTATTGATTATTTGAAACAACACATATGAATTAAATGTCACCCCGTTGTACAAGCCAATAGCTGTCTGAGCGTTTGAAGTGAAAGAGACTAGGGTTTGAGTCCCTGTGTGAACATCGATACTGGAGTGAAGTTACATCTAGCTGATGAGTCTCAAATAAGACATTGAGTGTGTTTTAGATTGCAATGCTAGCCACCATCTAGCTCTACTTAATAACAGTTACAGTGCTAATAATCAAGCTATAACTTTAGAAATTTGTTACTAAGTCAAATAATAACACATTTAACAACTTACAGATAAGAAATTACAAATTGTAGAGCAAGAAACAAGTCACTTGTGAATTTATTTTGTGACGTAGAAAGTAGTTAACATGTAACATGTTTTTTTGGTAGGTGTTATTAGATTATGACGTCCATAATAAATACGTACATTAACTAAGAAACTTAAAGTTTAATGAATAAGAGATGGTAATTTATACTAAGTGCGTACAAATAAAACACTTTATAATCCTTATATTCTGTTTTCTATTATTATATGGATAGCACTTATAAAACCTGAAACGAATTAGTTTGATGATGCGATCTGTTTAACTAAAGCAATGGGGACAGTTGGACTCAGCTGTTTATACGTTGATAGATTTCTATTTCGTTTCTTTATTTTCACTTTCTGCTTCAAGAAAATCGCAAAACATGGTTTCACAGAAGTAACTGTTCGGTCCTTAGCGTTTCTGAGAGGCTGTGCCACTATCTTGATTTGAAAATCTTTATATTCCAGTCTCAAGAACACAGTTCTTTGAAAAATGCTTTATCATTTGAAGTTCTATGTTTACTATGTTAACATACTTTTCAAAGAATTTGTGAGTATTCATTTTTTGGGTAAATTTGTACAGTCTTTTACTCAGAAGATATGACTTGAACGAGTTACTTACACCTATTATTTCTTGTGGAGCATGAGCTTTGAACCCAAATCCTTCATCGAATTCTGTCCTGCGCACTCCCGTCCAGTTATTACCAAGTGTTATTCACTCTTTTAACGTCTGCCTCTAATGTCCGGCGCAATGTGTTTTTTGGTCTATCTCTTTTCCTTTTGCCTTGAACGAGTTACTCCATTTTTTTATATCTAATAAGCACATAACTTCGAAAGTGGATAAATTCTTTGAATATATAACCCATTTTGCTGGTCAATATGTTAGTTTAACCTTTAATAATGATCGATTAACAAGTTATTATTTGTTCAGGGCTACGACAAGCTCGTTTAACGCTGTTTACATTGAAGTTGTTCCTTGTACATCCATAGCAGCAGTCAGCTACCGTAAAATTAAGAATTTCTTCGCACATATAACTTTTTTCTGAAAAAAGTAATACCACTTGAAAGCCATATCATCTTGATACAGTACTTTGATCTTTACTGAGTGGATGTTATACCTATCAATAAATTGTAAGTAAAATTAATTGAGTTTCACGAGAATCGTTTTCTTATATTTTTGCTCGAATCTATAACAAAAGGTTTCACGGAGTTGCTAAAATTAATGTGTCAAATTTCTGAAAACCTCTTGATAGAAAAGTACTATGTATAAAATAACCTCATAAAAGTATCCTCCATCTTAATTTTGGTTCTTTCATACGTTTTGGAAGTAAGAACCCTACCTATTTAAAAAGGTTATACATTAAAAGTTGTTTTTTCTCAAGATCTGTTTAGATTCTATATAGATGTGTATTTTTTACTGCATGACCGAAGCACTATTTGTATGCCTTACTCGTAGATAATATAATTCTTCCAGTAACTGCTTTGAATGGTGGAAGTTTTACTGGCGAAGTTAAAAACATACTGGCCTCTATCCGCTGTTTACTAGACCACACTGAAGAAACGACTAATACCTTGTATTTAAGCGTTTTCCTCAATAAAATAACAAGTTGAAAAATTATTTCTTAAATCCTACACAAAACACATTTGTATTATTGTAAAAAATTTATTTGACTGATTGTAGTTACTTTTGATGTATCAAATTACTTACTATTTGACAGTTATTAATGATATATAATACATTAATATCTATGTAAAATGAATAGATCAGAGATAATGCATCTGATTAATGAAATTGAGAGAGTCAATGAAATAATACACTTGCTAATAATGTTTTTAAGTCAAGTGAATACTGAATCCATGTATCAATTAAAATTAGCTTACAAACTTGGTACATTGTGTAACCTATAAAGCCTTATCAATAAACCTAATCTAACTGTAAATAATATTGCTTAAAAAAAATATGGCAGATTTTCTATTTTTATTTAATGCAATTTAATAAATATTATTTAAACAAACTTTACTCTGAGATTAATAATGCTCGTAGATACCATGAACATAAACTATTTAAATTAAGAAACTCTCCTTGTCTGCTTCTTATAATTTAATTTTTTTATTATAGAGTATTAGTCTAGGTAAAATACTATATCAATAATCTATATTCTAATTCATATAATCCACCCTGTGATTAGCACGTTTTCCAACAGATTTTTATTCACGTCTAATTTATATGATATGTCTATGCCATGATGATAATACTAGACCACATGATGTGAAAATAGTTTTTTGATAAAATACTAAGTGTACCATACCTAATCAAATTAAATTGAAAAGTAGGGCTCGATTAGTCGCACATTTTTATCACCATGACTTCACATTTTTAACTCAATTTTTATAATTTAAACCAAACAACTAATAAATTTAATCACTAGTATACACATAATATCTATGGGGATAATCATACATCACATTATAATATTTAAACAATAGAAATATTCTTTTTTAATAATATAAGCTTCAGTTAAGTAGAAAATTTAATATATGTAACTTAAATTTAAGCTCATCATTATTGACTTGACTATGCAAAATAATTAGCAAATGAATTAATTTCGTTAATAGTTTTGATATGATTCCAACAAGAGATTATAAACAGATGAAATGATTTTTATTGCAGTCTAGTAGTAACTGAGAGATAACTAAAAAGTTGGAATAAATATAAAAGTGTTTCATTCTAATTTGAAACAGTATAGAAGAGACTTAATAAACACAGGTTTTAAACTCATGGAAAATAGCTGTCAACTTTGAGTAAGAATATGATGTCGATGGTGACGATGACTTCGTTGTGTCACAAAATGACTGAAGCTCAACGGTGTGGACCATTTCATTATAATTAGAAATTGTTTGTTATCATGATAACTGCAACACTTTAAAATATCGGTTTCTAGCATATACAAAATATATAAACAAATATTTTCATATTTAGATGAGACAGCTTCTTGACTGTATCCCAGTTTCATAAACGATATCAATTCACAATAGAAAATGCTTTATAAACTATACACAATCTATCGTTATCACTCTTCCATCTGATATGAATGACGATTTTCAACGTGTATGGAATAATTGATCTTTATTCAGTCTATTAAATCAGCTTTACTGGACTACATTAACGGAGATACTGAACATTTCTCCTTGACACTTTTCTAGGTAAACTACTTACTTAATAAATCAGCTTGACAAAAAAATTTATATTCTTATTCAATTTAAGCACATTAGTAATAACAAAACTGAACACTTTTATGCTTAATCAGTTACTGCGAATTAGTAGCTCAAAAGAGAGAGAGTGAAATATGGACTTACTCAGTCGAATGATGTTTCCGAAAAAAATATTAACATGCAAAATTTTGCTTCTTCGACAACTATTCTTACCTACCTATCGATACTTTATGGTAGCTACAAATGAAAAATTATCATTTATATTTCTGAAATGCACTCGAGTTTTTATTTCTAGTAAGTCATATGAAAATAAAGCAGCAAGAAAGCACTTTGATCATATTTCTCTAAAGTCATCAGAATTGTATTTTCAGATGTGTTATTTTAAGAAACACCATGGTCGAAAATAATTGACTTGAATTTTTGGAAAATCTTGAAATGCCATTTCAGTTTCATACTTTTAACACGTTTAATATTCTGTTCAGAAATTCCGTCATGTTTAATGAAAACATACACTACATTTTAGTATATTCAAACGATTTATTACAGTTTACGGAAGCTGGACAGCATTGTTCTTAATAAGTCAGTCAAATGGTTTTTAGAAAAGATGTCATTTTTTATTTTTTCCATGATTTGCTTAAGTAAACTTATTCTATAAATGAAATAGCCCAAGTTATTGAATTAATCACTTGAAGTTTGGTATTCAGTAGGGTTCATAGGCTGAACTATTAGATGTCAGTAAGTGACCAATTCCATGGTTCTACAGAAATATATATTTTCAAATATTGAAAAAAAACCATTATCAATAAACAAGAGATTAATTTTTTCTCATCCTATGTAATAACATTGTTTTCAAGTCTGTCAGTTAAATGTTACTATCAAATCTATATGAAAACATTACTGACTTGCACATAAAAATGTACTTTTTTCTATGGATTGAAAGACTGAAGATAAATGGTTTAATGCTCAATGAAGAGTTACAAAAGGAATGAAATGCTATTCCTGAAATCCTATGGCCAGTCACTATCCATTTCTACTCAAACATTCGTGACTTAATGATATTTATCAAGGGAACCCGCTTAGTATACACATATAACTAAAGATAGAATGATCCTGATTCAAATAATAAACGCGTTTGTTATCAGTTAACTGTAATTATTATCATTCACTTTTAAATTTATATAATGAATCAGCTATAACTTATGTAAGTAAAGATATTTTCAGTGAAACATTCAGGAATTTACCATTTATCATATTGAGCTTTCATATTTTATCGTTCTTTTCCATAACAGGTACCGACCACCAGATGTACTATTAGGTGATAAAAACTACTCCGGTCATATTGATATCTGGGGAGCTGGTTGTATTCTGTATGAAATGGCAACAGGTTATAGTCTTTTTCCGGGTACTTCAAAAGAAGATCAAATTAAAATTATTTTCAGAAAATTCGGTAAATAAGTTAATTACTTTATTCCATTCTCTAAATAAATAATTTAGTTAAAATTAATTAATGTTAATTAAATTATGATATAATCTTTAGGCGTTAAACTTGCTACATGTATATATATATATATATATATATATATATATATATATATATATATATATATATATAAACTTCAATTTTCAATGCAACTTAAGACAACTGATGAAAAGCGGGATTCAAAGTAATTAACTCAGTGTAAACACACATAACATTTAACGCTATTTAACTTTATTCTTAGAGTATAATATGGATATCATAAGAGAATATTTGCTGTTTAATTAAGTTATGATCATAGAAACTTAATGTTATACCGTTTTTTTTTAATGTAATATAATTATTCTCTGTTATGTGAATATTTATTAGAAATATATATGCCTTCACGATTGCTTAATACAAAGTAACTGCATAAACAAGCATCAACGATTGGTATACAGCTTATTTTAAGTAGGCTGATAAATTTTACTATAAGTTGGTGTTAATCAAAAAACCATTGAAACTTTAACTGTGTAAAAAATCAAATATGCACACTAATTAACAGCGCAATATCTTCATTGGACATATAGTATGTGAAGTTGAATTTCATAGTGAACATCATATCCTTCAAGGTTAAAGACGTACCAACTTTTTATGAGCCCCAATTAGAGTGAAACCTAGTTATGGGTGTTTCTGATCACCAGCTTCAACCAACTAACTCATATGGTGTGCGTAATATTTTCCTGGCAGATAAAATTCAAAATAATATTCATTTTTTAAAAGTGTTTAAGTAGGTGGTATACGTAACACAGTGTTCAAGAAATTTCCTCTTTATTGCCTACTTGTCATATTATGTAAATTCGATCCCTAAATATAAATATGGATTAAACAACAGATTGCACACTATTTGAATAGTTTTATTATGAAATCATTACATCATATCGACTATGAAATATTGCTACTAACCGGCTGCTATCTGCTGCATCCTTCATTTGTCCAAATCTCCTAAAAGATACGCTTTCTATACACGTAGCCAACTCAGCTGTTTGAACATAAGAACCAAGACCGATAGAAAACCTTTTATTGACCGACCGAATCTACCAAATACATACATCTTTCATGGTTATATATTTTTCCCATCGAAAAATAGACCTTCATTCTCAAACTATAGGGCATATTTCTTTGAAAAGTGAAGTCAAGCCCTGAACCATGAAATACGTCCATCACTATCAGAAAAATAATGGACAAATATAGGGCCAAGAACCAAATAATTTAAAATGAAGATGTAGACAATGACTGATTAGAGGTCAGTCAGAACTGAGGTCGATAAGACAAGGTGCTAGTCACGTGTGGAGGAATTTAAACTTTTCACTTCTACCTGAAGTTTGTTCTGATGATGTTATTTAGTAAAACAGTCTAAATAATACGACCAAACCATTCAGCTCAAAGAACAAAACTCCACTTAAATCATCCACCTGATCTAAAAATCCTACCATCTGACGTCCGATTGGTACAGTTTATTGCTAGCCAGTTACAAAACCACTTTTGTGATCAAACATCGAATGAAAGCGGTTTTAATCTTTCTAGAATACTTATTTTACAAAGCTTCAGATACACCTTTCTTGATAGTGAATATCAATAATAAAAACGGCCGAAGAGAATATTATTAAAAAACATCTTCAAGCATTTCTTTGGAGTTTAATTTGTAAACGTAGTTCTAAATAATACATGAACCTATATATATCATTATTTTTTTACTTTTGATTCGAATAAAATATTTCATACTTTTTCAGGAATTCCACCAGAATCCTACTGGCCTAATTTGAGGACGAATCCTAAATTTTTAGAATATTTAAATTCAAATCAACATAATGAAAGGTGTGAATCAAATAAGCCGAATTATTCACAGTCTTCTACAAATCTGAATTTAATTGGCAGTAAAAAATCCTCATTTCAAATAAATAAACAGTTATATGATGAAAATTTCGATTCTATTGATAAATATAATGAAAATATTAAAAATACACTGTCATGTAGTGCATCAAGATTGAATTTAGATGGTCAACAATTATTATTTGAATGTCTTGCATTGGTTGGAAATCGTCGAATTACAGCTAATGATGCACTGAAGCATATTTATTTCAAATGCATTTTACCACCTGGTATTAATGTACATGATTTATTACCAGAACAATCAATCACATTACTTGCTATTAAACAAAATTCAGTTAATTCTTTGCAGCAATCTCGAATTCATACCACTAATACTGATACTACTAGTAAGAAAAATGGTAAAAAACATAGGAATAAAACTAATTATTCAACACATCTAACTAATTCAATATCTTATGGTAATAAACTGTATAGTAATGAACAGTTATCAAAAAGTTTAACTAACTTATCAACAGTTCGTTCGTATCCTTCAAATGATTCAAATTCATGCAATACACCCACAATCCTACCAAATTTTAACAATAAATTAACAACAAAAAAACACAAATCGGAAAACGAGCATCAAATACAAGCATTTAAACTGGGTAAAACTAAAACCTCAACACAATTACTTTATAATGAAAGAAATACCATCTCTATTAATACTACCACACATCATCAACATGAACATAATTCTAAGTCTGATGACAATGATAGTAATAATTCCATTCAAAATGACCAAAGCTCCGATATTGACACGTCACTGAGTTCAAACAGTCAACACTTTATTCCATATGAAAAAGTATGTAGTCAGCAATATCAACCAGAACAAGTTTCATTTTCGTCGTTAAAAAAACCAAGTAAATTAAATGAGAAAATGAAAGAACCTGTTAGAAAATATATGACGATTTCTTCAGGAGATATGCATAAAATACTTTATAATCAAAATATTATTGGTAATAATGTCGGTTATAGTGATAATAATCATAATAATACTGATATCAAGAATAAATCCATAGGTAATACCTCAACAACTAATCATCTTACATCATTTGTCAAACGTAAATTATATTCATTACAAACAAAAGCTAAAGCATCTCGAAATCGTCTGAGATCTTTGTCAATTGATCAACTTAAAATCTTAAGTTTATCATCACCATCTTCAAATTCTTCGAAAGAAATGGAGTTGATTCATGCAAATGATTTTGGTGACGATAATAATAGTAATAAACTAAATAATAGCGACACATTTGTAAATTCACGTAGTGTTCTTAAGAACAAAATTAATGATGGAAGATTTGGTCAAAAGACAGATCAAGTAAGTTAATCTTTATGTATACAAACTAAACATCTATTTTGATTAATTTAAGTGTATAGACGGTTCTTATCACTTCAATAAACAATACACCAAACTATATTTAAAACACGTTTTCGCAGCTTCATTTCTATTGAATTTTTCATTGACTACCGTTTATGTTCGACCATATCGATAAAATGATATTTTTATTGAGATCATGTACCGATCAATGTTAGACCACCACTGAAAACCTAAGTTCGAGTCCCACATGCGGAGTCGTGGGTGTGAACCGATGAAGAATCCACACAAAAACGAAAAGACCGTCCAGTGATCCCAGTTTTTTTATGGTGGACCAACACTGGTCGCAATTATAACTCAACAATCTCCACAACATGAAATGGTATACGAGAGCATAAAAATCTTAGCATAGATACGAAGCGAAACAACTGTGCACTGAAAGATTAAAGCAGGAAAATAATCTTATAGGAGAAGAAAAGTACCTGGTTCGTTTAAGAACACAGAAAAAATATATGTTGTTCTCTTAGACCATATGATTTATAAAGAAATGAAACATCAACATCAACCTTCATTCTGATGTTTGTCTGACGACATCTCAAGCCACAGTGTACCGTCATTTCCGGGACTTGATTTTGAGAATAGTAGCAAGTCAACAGATTGTAACAGAATACAAATATCCTTCACTTAGTAGGAACATTTCGTAAACTGACCCCTCTATTTTTTGCCTAGTCTCTTTGTCAACAACAAATGCGTTGCATAATAGCTTCTGAAGCGATAATGTTAAAGCTTTTTCAAAATGACGACGTTACTGAACAATAATCTTTGCCGTTTCCACACATCTAAATCATTGCTGTTTAATTCAGTAAATAGGCTCACTTCAATATCATTATGCAACATTATGTTATATCAAATCGAGCAAGCTATTTCAACCATATTTTGGTCACTTTTTATTGAACTTCACAGGTTGTTAGTAAACAATTTCAAAGCTAGAAAACCCTCAACAGTTATTCATTCATGCTTTGAGCTGAGCAGTATGAGCTCAAGTGACAAGTGAATAGCGAAATGTCGGCTATGCTAGATCTTAATAAAAAATCAATACGAGCTGTCTTTGGATCAATCAGAAATTCTAAGTCTATTCACTTTCATTCCAATAAAATACTCTCTTAAATTATCAAAGTGAATATAACAGTAATTCCCTTAAGCAATTCAACTTTTCAAAGTTTCATATTGTAATCAAACTTAATGCATACAAGAGTATGCGCTATCGATCTAACTTTTCATCATTTATCATTTATATTTCTCTGTATACAATCATATGTATTTAAATCTTATTCGATTCTTTCTACTGTGACAAAAAAACGTTGTATGATATGTTAATAAACACAAAAGTTAATTGAATTCTAGTTTATTTTTGCATAGATAAATAGGTCGTCTATAAAAATGATTATGCAAGTATTCAAAATAATGAATCATTCTACTATATAGATAAGTGATACAGGTTCGAAACGTAAATGTTTACTTATGTATATTTCGCTCAAAATAAATAAGTGTGTTGTTATCTATTCATCTGTTGAAGAAAACAGAATGTTAAGCTTAAACTTTTGAAAAATAATTTGATTATTTCTAAACTACAGAATTAAATAAGAAAGGATAACTAACTATTCATTGTAACACTTTGACAATAACATCCAATAAATTTTGACATAGTTTCATTGAGATTATGAATGAATCAGTGTTGAACTACGATTACAAACCTGGAAGCACTGGACATACGTTTTGTCTTAGTATAGTACTCCTCAGAAGTGCGTAGCAGTTTGACATAATTAAACTGCATGCTGAAGCACTTTCTAATTATTCTTCTCTAAACATTATACTTCCTTCCAACCTGCTCTTCCCCTTTATATTTCAATCTTACTCTCTACGACATCACTGATCTTTGATTTGATCCTTACCAGTCCACTTTTCAATCGATAAACTTTTCAAAGAAAATATATCAACTAATACGCTAATATATGAAATTACTTTCTATTATCCATTTACTATTGTGAAATCGTGATCTATTATTAAAAGTGTTTTACATGAAACACTTGATATTTTTTTTAAAAATATCATTTACATCGTTCAAGTTACCCAACTGAATATACAAATTATATAATGATAAATCCCATTGTAATATTTAGTTTTGTTAATATATTCTATAACTAATTAAATTTTATTCGCTAAAGTATATTGATTTTATTCCATTTTATCTTTGTCAAACTTTTGATTTCTTTTTTTTTCTTTTGTTGATTTCTACTTTCACTTTACAACAATAATTGAACCATCAAATTAGAATAAACTTTCAATTGACAAAATTACAAATAAAAATCATCGTGATTTAACAAAATCTATACAAATCATTAATAAATCATCAAATATCAAAACAATTATAACAAATTATTCAATTCATTCAAATAATTCAATGAATCGTTTAAATTATAATAAAAATTCTCAATTATTATCATCTGCATTTATAAGAATAAATCGTCCAAATAGTTTTCATTTAAAGAATATACAACAAAATTATTGTTTTCAATCAAATAATTCATTAGTTCATTTAAATTCTCATCGTAAAAGTTGGAATAGTTCTGGATCATCAAATTTAGGTAGGAAATAATTTATATATAATGTATATAATTATATATTTTATATTGAATATATATATATATATATGAATTAAAACATAATTATATGAACGAAGAGGAAACCTGGAGAACTACGAAAGCCATCATTCAGAAGATTAAAGTGTTTATTAACAGCTGTCGGATCCGTTGACCAGACACTATCAGCAACGACCTACTATGGGAGAGAACAAACCAGATGCCAGCGGACGACGAAATCAGGGAGAAGCGCTGGAAATGGATAGGACATACATTGAGGAAAGCACCAGACTGCATCACAAGGCAAGCCCTCACGTGTAGTCCTCAAGGTCAAAGGAGGAGAGGAATACCAAGGAACACATTAGGCCGAGAAACGGAGACAGACATGCGAAAAACGAACAAAAATTGAATGTAACTGGAAATGAAGGCCCAGGACAAAGTGGGTTGGAGAATGCTGGTCAGCGGCCTATGCTCCACTGCAAGTAAGAGGTGTAAGTAAGTAAGTATATGAACGAAGAATATTCTTTTTTAATAATTTCTCACCAGGTTCTACAATTATAAATCCAAATTAATAATCCATGAAATTGGCCAGATTTAAGGCAGATTACATTATTTAAAATTGTAACATGTGAATTAAGAATTGTTGTTTATCATATCAAATCAAATGAAACCGTTAATGTTGGGTCTGACTGATATTCAAAGGACTATTAATGCAGGTAAACTACAACTAATGTTTTCCACACGTCCAATAATCACACTGAGGTTGAAAGATAAATTGCCTAGACTAGCCACCTCTTTCTGTATCTGTCCATTCAACTGCTCCTGTGGAGCAAGTTATATTGGCAGATGTTCTAGGGATTTGTACATTCGGGATCGTGAGCACCTCCCCGTGTGTCTAAGCAAAGGTGTAATCAAAACGGTTAACAGTTCCATTTTAGACCATCTAGTTCAGACGTGACATACAGCCAGCATAGAGCAATCTTTCGCAATAATATATCGTGTTAACAGCAGTCTACCTAATTCTGTCAGACTGAGAATCTTGCAGACGGCTGAAGCGATTGCTATTCGGATCAAAAAGCCATAGCTTAGTATATAATGGAGATACGTTCAGCCGCTCCTTTTACCCTGACCAACTTTGGGGCCAACTAGTTAATAATCAATCTTATAATACGGTGACGTAATTTGATTGATGTTCATTTTATGTCCCAAACTTATTATTACCATTATTATGATTATTTTTACCATTATTATTACCATCTTTATCACTGCTATTATTTTTATCATTACATTTGATAGCATTTTTGAGGAATTTATTCACTATCCACCCCTATCTACTATATCTGACCTAATTCATATTATTCTACATATTAAGTGATTTCTGATTTTAATTCCATTATTTTCTCTCTCACCCCATGTTGACCATATTTATTCTGACCATTTATCACACAATTTCATTTCGCTTATAAACTGATTCAGGTTACCGATCCGATTTGATAACAAGCAACAATTCTTACTTCTTATCAGAATGGGTTTTGTGGAGATTTTTAGAAATTTCACAAGTTGAAATCATGAGTCAATTGAAACTAGACAACCATGGAAAACCTGGAAACACTAGATGGCCGTTTCGTCCTAGTATGGGACTCCTCAGCAGTGCGCATCCAGTGCTTCCAGGTTTTCCATGGTGGTCTAGCGTCAATTGACTCATGATTTCAACTTGTAAAAATTCTTAATTCACATATTACAATTTCCAAAGGATGTACTCTGCTTTAAATCTGGTCAATTTTATGGATTAATAATCTGGATTCATCGTTGTAGAACCTGACGAGAAATTATTGAAAAGAATATTCTTCATCCATACAATTGTGTTTTAATATAATGGGAAATTTTCAACGATATATGAATTAAGTTGATTGTTGATGGTCTATTTTAACAATTTGTTAATTTATCCAACATTTATGCTAATTTTTTCTTCCATCAACGGCTGAATCAATTTATTCTATAATTTACTTTAATAAAATATGTAACTGTAGCATAAACAGATTGAATAGACTTCTTATGAAATATTTAGTAATTATGTATAAATCAGTATCTTATTTTGTTTAGTTTTTAAAGAAAATTCACTTGACGATAACTTCACAAACTGATCTATACTTATTTCCTCAAAGTAGATTCGTTTATCTAGAAGTAACTCATTAATGCATCTTCGAAATAAGTTTCATAAACTTAAATATAAGATTCTGTGATAATTTTACTGTGTGACGAAAGTATATTAACAGAAATTACAATGAACTTATTAACAGATAATGTCCTTAAATATTTTATAACAGTCAATATCTTTAGAAAAATGCCTAAATATCATATTTTTTCATTTATTATCAAACAACTAAAAAGTAAGTTGTATTGGGAGACTATTTTCATGAAAGCTCAAGAAATTTATTTCACTAATCGCCAAAACTACAGACTATAAAGCTAGAAAACGTATTATATGTCATTTGTTCTTCTTTCCACCTTCTTTTGTACAATTTACATGCATAAGTTTTTTACTAAAGTATTCTCGTTTATTTCGGAAAAAAAATGTGACAGACAGAAGGTTTTTAAGGGTCATACGTTTTGCGCTATTCTGTTATTTATCACGTCAGCTGCATTGATTGATTACTAGATATCAATTAATGTCATGTTAATATTTAGTCTTCAGTGCTGATTTGATTCTATTGACCACGTTGCCAAAGGCACACTAGTCTAAGTTAATCGATCTTCCGGACTATATGAAATATAGTGTATATGATGCTGAGTCACCTGGATCAATAGGTTTATTGCGATTCGATCGGCAGAATTTGAATAACACTATTGATTTGACGAACTTGACATAGGTTATGACTTGGTGATTAATCCGTGTAGCTATATCAGTGATACAGTAGGTCAGGAGTGGTCCGAGTAGACCAGTGGTCACTTTTTGGACTGTCAACCCTGTTGAAAAGTCGGAATCTTATAGGAAACGTCAGTTCTTTCGGGGTTGTAAAAACGTCTTATTGACAAGCGCCAACTAACATCTAACCTAGATTCAGGATTTTCTACCCACTACCTCCATCCACCTTACACAATATTATCTCTCAAAAATGCTATAATTGTGGTCGTAAATTGAATATTTAAGCTTAGACAGACAGAATCCGGATATAGTGTTAAATGAAATTGTACTCATTTCTACGACCATTATTGTTATTGTCCTATTAACAATAAGCTCGCTAAATATTTATCAATACTATAGTTTCACAATTCTGTATACTCACTTTGTAAAATACAGTTAACATATATATATATAACGATTCTTTAATTTTGTAGATACTCCATTTGATGAACAAAGTGTATTCAAATAGAACATGAACATTACTAAGATACTCCATAAAAACTCACTTATAATCCATCGAAACAGTGAATGAAACTCATCATAACAACTAGAATGAATAACTCTTATTCATATTTTCAAAGAAAAGAAAATGTTCTCAATAAAATTTCTAAAGAATAAAGATTAAAATAAAAGTATTTTAACATTTTCCTATATGAATATTATCATTGTAAAAAGTTTATTATGATTTTAATACGCCTTGTCAACTATAGTTTATTTTCTGGCTTTTATTTTCGTTTTGTATTTCCTTTCATTTAGTGAAATGAGTAAAAAGCTTGATGTCATTATTATTATTATTATTATCCCTCAACCATTACGTTACTTTAATAATACAACCCATCATATGTCCCTTTTTTCTCTTATTCGTATTGTACTGAGATATATATATATATATATGATAGAAATATTTCAATATTTTTTCTGCAAAATGAAAAAAACAAACAAACAGACAAAATGAACAAAAGAATTCATTAATTTATTTTTTAAATTCTATGATTAGAAAAATCTTTCACAGATCAGAAAAGATCATAAAATTTTTTGTTGTGAGATTCAATTCACTTTTTGTTTGAATTCAATGACACATATTTTGTTTTTATTCTTTCATCCACCGGTTCCAATATTTACTGAATCTTATTGTTACTTACTTATCTTATAAATTATAATATGATATCAATATATACAAATAAGTTAATTTGTTCTAATCTTCTATTTATTATTAAATCTTGATTACTTATTTATTAACTTTGTGTTTGTCTGCTTGCATTTTTTTAACAATTACATCATTAAACATTATTCTAGGCGTCAGTCTTAGTGCACCATTACAGATTATATTCTTTGTAATAAGGAATAAAATCAAAATAAAAAGGATGGAGATTATAAAATGTTAAATCATAAATCTGAAGAACAATAAATCAAACTATATGAAAATGTGATACTTAAGTAATGCAATTTTTTTTTCTTTCTAAATAACTAATTTACTCGCTCTTTCTCTTCACATCTTACAAACAATTAAAATAAACAGATTTTCTGTTTGAATATTCTTTAGTATTTTCGAACATTTGTCAAAGCAAATATTTTTTTTCCTTCATTGTAGCTATATACAAATACGTATTCTATAATTGTTTGCTTAATAACTGTAAATTTCTCTTTATGTATCAAACGAAAGACTTATGACTAACACTTAACTTTGTATGTAATACATTCAAATATTACATCACTATTATTACGTCAGTTTACATGACCTTTACAGATTGATTTTACTAACCATTTTATATCTGTTGCAAAATAGTGAACTTTAAAACCAAGGATTTAAAAGCTGGGAAGAAGGTTAACCGATGGCACTTTCGTGTTATCAATACTTTAATAACACTACGTGGGGCATAAAAATCGTCAGAAAATAAATTCAAATTTAACACCTCGAATATAGTATTTCCGTTATGAAATGTAAATGTTCTGCTTGCAGTTAGATAAACGTTAATCACTATGCGCTGTTTTCTTGTTAGAAACTAAAGGAGTAAGTTTTTTTAATGAGTTGACTAATTTAAGTTAGCATGCATTGTATCAACACATCCAACAATAAACTGATATGAAAATATATAAATGAAAAGACTGTGATAAACTGTATTAGATAACTTAGTGGAAAAGACACGTTGGGATATAGAAGCTTCGAGTGATAAGTAATCAATAGAAATAAGCCAGCAAAGCAAAGAATAAAATGTATGACATAATAAAAAATGTTTAAGGTTAGAAAAGTAAATGAATTATGTCAGTGTAATTGTAACAAATTTTCAACTATATGAACTTGATTCTTCAGATACCAATATTGATTATCCAAAGCCTATAGTAATGAAACAAATATGAGTATCATCAAAGCTAGACAATTTAAAAGTTTAACTACATCACAGTTAAAAACTGTAGCTTTGTGATCTGTATATTGCTCCATTGTGATTATTTCTCTTTTTATTTTTTAAGTGACTATTAATTACAGTCCACACTTTCGTGAGCAGCCATCACTTGATTACAAAATGACATCAATGTTACCGATATAACACATTTGTTTGTTTATATTAAATGACTTCATAATTTCTTAAACTGCAAAATTGAATATTCATTGAAAATCGTAAAGTAATGAATGTACGATCCTTTTTCATTATAAATATTATGTATGTTTACTGTTGATCTAAGAACGATCACATAAAGGACCTTCATATTTCTCGTTGAAAAAAAAATAATACTGCTCACTACTGAATGAATATCTAATAGATGCTGTTACTTAACTTCAAAAAATTTGTGGTGTAGTTCCATGACTAACTATTCATAACTATCTGTCTTAAATCTCAATTTCTGAGATCCATTAAAACAGAATAAATTGTTTCAACTTCAAAAATTTATGATACTCTTTGATACCTCAACTTCTACTTCGACAGATTTTTTATTCTATCAGCTTTACTATCGGTTAAAAATTAATAAATATATTCCAGAATTATTACATTTTACTGTATAAATGATAAGATTCTTAAAGGTTAGAAATAGCTTGGGAGCTCACCAAAATTTTACATGATGGAAAATGATGTTGATAATCAATCATTATGGAAATGAAACACATAACTTTAATAATCAGATGTTAATTTATAAAACGTAAACATTTAAACTTCTCCAAAAACTAATAGATTAACGAAATTTAAAGACATTTTAATTTGACCTTATATCTTATTGTGTTTCTTTTTAATAGATCTGATAAACTTTAATTGAAAAGACAAATATAATATAGTAATAGCGATTATCAAATTACTGTAATGACTTGAGATATAATGGAATGTAATAAGATATATTTAATGTCATTGTTACTATAAATGTAGAATGAAATATTTCTTATAAGATGCACACATTGTCAGATGTCTCGTTGTCCCTTAGTGGGAAATATCTTACTGATTGACAAAAATGAATGAACTAACTGTTTTTCATTATTTCTGTGAGTATCGCCTATTTTTTTTTATCTCCAATTACTGTAATAGTATCTTTTAAAACACACATATTCATTGTTTTGAAGCTGACAAAACTGGGATGAAAACGTAAGGGTAACTATTTAGGCTTGTATACTTTGCTATTAAGTTATTTTGGATAATATTGATCGGTTGAGTAACAATCATTATGGTTAACTTGAAAACAGATTATTCATTTTGGTTTGAACTATAAAGATTACATTATTCAAGCATCCATATTAGCAAGGTGAATAGACTCTGAAAATTGATCCTGAGAATCATAAAATAGAAATATTACTAAATCAAATTCAACATATCAATGAATTTGAATTGAAAGTAATAATTTGTTAAAACTTCTTTGGTATCTCTTAGAAGAGCATTCATGTTCCTAATAATGTTTGTTCTACCTTTAACTTCAAAGGACAGTTCCCTTACAGCTTTAGTGGAATTTATTTTGAATTATCTCATACTTTCGTTTGAACAATTAGTGTAGATAGTAATGTCTTAAAGCAAAGCGGGTTTTGTAGATCCTGGTTAAACTAAGTTGTAATACAAACTGAGATAAAACTATACAACCTGTTCTATACCTATTCTTACATATACAGGTGACTAGAGAAGTCGACTAGGAGCTTCATAGAAAAAACTACTTCCGTGTTATATAAATTCCTTAACTTAACGTTCACTTGGTGGGATTGGTTTGTCACTCGTGAATAAGATTTTATGTAACAGTATATAAAGCTTGTTTTATTCATAATCCAGCTGTGACTTTTTTCGATGAAATTCCAAGTTCATGGTAAGTCTATCTAACTACACTGTCAAATAATAATTGAATAGATGACTAATCAAACTTCAAGATATGGTCATGTAGTGATAAATGCTATTCATGAACTGACTGAAACTTGGCACAATAATGATTTCATTCATACTTATTAGAATTATCTTAAAGCTCTAAGTTATCCCAACTTAAGAATGTCTTTTTAACCTAGAATTATCAGAACAATCTTCAATAATAATACAGATATAACCGTTAAACTGTAGTGACCTACTTTTATCAAAAGAACGCGATTGGCGTAATGGAAACTATTATTATAGCCAATTGTATCATGTATTGTGTTTACCATACTTGCTTGTTTAACTGTACCAAAACACATACATTCTTCTGTTGCTTGTGATCTTGCACGAATTCAGTTACGCTCAGTAACCAAACTTGTACTCCTTTGGCACGATATTGGTATCCTATCGATACCACGAGATCGCCAACAAATACATCTCGACTACAGCCATCAATTGCCTTCTGATATATGGCCTATGGGTGATCTTATCGGTTAACTGGCACGTAATCTCCCTGTAGTGGTGATCATAGTCAAATGCGACTCGATGCCACGCTACAAAACTAATAAGTTGATTTCCCAGTCGATCAAAAACAAAATGTTATCTGAGTGACTGAACTATTCTCACGTTACAATATGAAGTATATCACTGGTATCAAGTGTATGATCATATTTCTGAATTTTAAACTATAGCTGTTTAATAATCCGTTTAACTTTCTTTTATATTTTATGTCATTATCTCTTCTGACAGTATTTGCTGATTGAGTTAACTATGGAATAAAATTTTTCGTCATCTCATAGTGGTAATATCTTTGTTTTCATGTGGTATTTCTCATTCATGCTTTAATATATTTCATCTCATTTCACATTAATCAACCTGACTTTTCTGTTTATCAGTTGTAAATAGAAGAAACACTTCCACGTGTTTTAAATAATAATTAAGTATGATAAAATTCTATGATGTATGCACATAAATATCAAGTTGTGTATTCCAAAAGTTACTTACTACATACACATGGAGTGTTTTTATTCACATGCCATACATATATATCAGCTGATTTATCAAGCAGTTATTTATGAACACATTTTATACAGTACGTAGAAAAACACAAAACCATCTACTTCATTTTATCGACGTCTTATCATTTGTATTCACTTTGAATCTAATTACGTACATAAGCATCATACAAAAGAGACTAACAGAGGTTACACATCAAATCTTAAATTATTTGGTTTATATTTTGTAAACAAACAAACACATGACATAGTAAAGATAATGGAACCAATGCTCCATAATCAAACTTATTGATAAGAACTAAATACTTACATAAAACCATTTAATATGACCAAAGATTATTAAGTAGCCATTTGAAAAGTAACTGAAATCATAATGATAGAAAATGCAGACGAACAATATCGATTATAATAATAATGTTGATGCAATGATTCAACAAAGTACTAGTACTACTACATGTTATTACTGAGTGCATAACTGTTCACGGATTACTTGTTACAGTGGAACAAAGATTGATATTAGTAGATTCAAGAAAGACAAATAAGGCTGGTGAAGAAGATATATTTGTGCATCAACTGTAAAGATTCACAACTAATCAAAACGACATCAAAAGTTACGGTGAAATGTATATCATCTAATTGTTTGATCAACAGTGAAATTTGAATACATTGAAATGGAAGTAATTGGCATTTAATTAATCAATAATTCAATGTCTGTATATAATTTGCAATATCAATAAACTAACTGTTTTCTCTATTTGTTTCCTGTTAATAAACCAACTTAAAATTAATACAAAGTCTTCATAAATATTATTAACATCCTCAAACCATTCTAGCAAATAGAAACAGTAATTCGACACTGAAACTCAATGATGTACAAAGAAATTGAAAAAGGGTAATAAATACCGTTTAATTGTTTTTCAAATCGATATACACTTGGAGAGTTCCACTGATTCGATTATAGAAGTAATGTTAATTTTGAAGCTAAATCAATGTGGTAACATTATAATATCTATCCATCATATTACGTAAAGAAATATCACATGGGTGAAAGAAAGAAACGGTTAAAACATATCATAAAAAATCTAGTTTCGTAACGAATGTAAACGTGAATATATTTAATAAGAGTCATGGAAATAGTTGATTTTTTTCGGCTCCTGATTTGAATTTGATTTTTAATTTTGTTTTATAGTGGTCACTGTGATAGGCTTCTTAATATCTTATATAGATATTATCAAAACCACTTTTTTTAATTCTCTATTAGTTTCTAAACACAGAATAAATCTCATAAGTCTAAAATCAGCATCATTCTTGAAGTATTTGGTGCTTGTACTGAAGCAACACTACTTTGTATAGAATGATACACAGGATACCTAAATGTAAATCGGTGCAAATGTTTGACCGATAGCTTTTTGCTAAGAGTTGCGCCCAGTTAAACTAATAAGATTGGCGTCAATATCAAAGGTTACAAAACATTTTCGGAGGATTTGTATACTACTACACAACTTCCATGAGGTAGGCTAGTTAGTAAACCAAATACTCATTCATGTTTATAATTAAAACTGAAATGTGGTATTTGCATGAACCAATGATTCCTATGTACTTAATTGCTGCTTGATTTCGAATTCCAAATACAATACGTCCGTTCGTGCTCATCTATTACTTCTTGGTTAAATTGCGTTATTTCTGGGATTTTCACTTCATATAATGATTCGAATACTTCTATTCATCACAAAATACCTGTCTATTTATTGCCTAGCTTAATGTTCGACTACACGACTCTCGTTGAGTAAAGCAAACAAAGCACGTCATCGAAGTTAAGTGATAATACTAGTTCAAACGTATGCGATAATGTCATAGCAAAAGTACATTGTTATATATGATGAAGTTTATACTGAACAATCGTTCGGGCGGTAGTAGTCCAGGAGCCTGATATACAAGTACATATGTGTACAAAGACAAAGACTAAGATCAAGTTGAGAGAAATTCCAGAGACCGTTTATACACTTCCCAAACCCATATTGCATGAAAATAAGTTGGAAATTAAATTAGCTTGATATAAGCGTAGTAAGAATGTTGAATCATAAATAAACCAGTAAGGCGAAAGTAAACATAACTATAATAGTAAATATTTGCAGACATGGTTAGCACCTAGAGTTTAGAAGGTGCAAATAAGGTAGCCATTTTGTAGAAATCTGATATGAAAGGTCCAACGTTCAACATAAAAATGATAATTACAAGAGGTTGAGTTTTTTTTTGAAGTCTTACTCAATAGTGTAGGATTTTTATCCAGTATTGGTATGGTGCCTTTATCTTTATTACCAAGCTGAAAAACCTAGTAAATCATGGCTGATCGACCATAATATAACAATTATCTAAATGAGCTTGCGCTGAAGTCATATCAATGTTGACACTGACTAACCCGACTGTGTCAACCAGAGGCATTGTTTGTTAGAACTTTTAAAAACGAAATCTAGGGCTACTGGTAAAGTAGCATATTTTATATGCGTAGGGAGACTAAGAATGTGCCTGAACCATATGGCCTCACTGATGTTCTCACATCGATCTTTATTGATCTCCACTTGTAGTGACTCACATTTATCACGAGAACACGACTGGTTTAATAAAAACAATTATTATTATAACCAACTGTACCAGTGTTTGTTTTAATGTGCTAATGACAGCTATATTGTGCTTCCATTATTATTCACACACTTTGATTGTAACTTCGCGCGAATTCGGTCACATTCTGTAACCAAGCTTGTATCCTGGCACGATCTCGGTATCCTTCCGATACCACGAGATCGCCAGCGAATATATCTCGATTTGGTCCAATAATTGCCTTCTGATATTTGGCTTCCGGGGGATTTTATGGAGTCATTTAGCACGAGTTTCTTGGTAGCGGTGTTCATAGTCCATCTCCACTCGACACCACGCTACACACTAATTTTCGTCTAATGTTCAACGGTCGGCGTAAATCTTCTAGTTTCGTACTTATTTGTTGTTGAGGATCAATCCGTGTTTTTCCTCTTTCACTGCACGTTCCTTGGGTAGTCATAATTCCGTCATCGCTGATCGCGAACGTCGTGCTAAAAGTAGATCAAAACATTGACGATTTTTGTTACGAAGATAAAAATCAAAGATTTTTAATTACTCAGTGGTTGTTTTGTAATCTGGTGGAATAACTATTCGATTGTGGTGGAACATTCTGATCAATATGGTTGTCCCAGTTTCAATCCTCCCTAGTGTTTCTATTCGGGCAGGGAACTTCCGATATTCTCAAGCCTTCGTCCATAACCGACAAATTATATGTAGGTTCTGTCTAGTAACATTGACATCGATCGTGTATTACATATCGACCTTTAATCTGGGGCCCTTTAAATTGTACAGCATCAAAAATGAAGACACGACTAGACTAAGAGAAAAATACTTCTCTGGACTACAAGCTAATGATTAACACTAAAAGTGGACAACAGTGATACGATTTTCAAAGCATACACAGCAGCACACCCTCTACTATAAAAAAGCGGTAGAGACATCAAAATGTTATATTCATTGTCTTTTCTAGTCAATATGCACACCAGCAATCTGTTAGGAGGCACATTTTCTTTTAAAGTTGTGTGAGTTTATGTATCCTTTCTTCGACGCTCAACAGAAGTGCAACATCTAGAGTTTTCGACTCTTTATTGTTCATAGAATGAGTGCTACATGCTTAGGTTATTACGCCTGTTACCCCTAGTGAAGGAGCATAAGCCCCTCACCAGCACTCTTCGTCCATACCTGTCGTACGCAATCCCTTTCAGTTGCTATTCATCCTTTTCATGTATGCTTCCAATTCTCGACAAAGTGTGTTCTTTCGTCTTCTTTTCCATTTACATTCAGAATCCAAAGTAAGTGCTTGCTTCATGATATAGTTTGATGATTTCCGCAATGTACGTCCTAATTTCCCAAATTATTTTTCAGATGACAGCTGGTTAGTTCTCTCCCACAGTAAAATACTGCTTATAGTATTCGGCCAACAAACACTGAGTATCTTGTGTACACAATTGTTTATAGATACTAGCTCTTAACATTTCAGTTCTATACAGTAGAACTGTGGAAAATCATGACTTTGGTATTGGTTGACAGTTTTTTGAGTTCTAAATGTTCTTCAAATGTAGGAATGCTGTATTCGCCTTTACGTCTGCATCAGATCCTCCTTATTCATCGATGATACTGACCAGATACGTGAAGATTTCCACCTCTTCCAGAGTTTCTACATCAAGTATGATTGAATTGATATTCTCCATGTTTTATTTGAAGATTTTGCTTGTTTCCTCTTGTTTGTTGGGGTCCACTGATGCAGAGGTTTCTGCTACACTGCTTGCTTTCACCTGCACTCATTGGCGCTCATGAAACAGAAGAGCTAGGTTATCTGCGAAGTCCAAATCGTTTAATAACATTCAAGCTGTCCATTGTATTCCGTGCTTCGGCTCGGATGTCAAAGTCTTCATAATCCAGTCAACCGCCGGAAGAAAGTGAAGAAGAGAGCAGTTTTGTCTGACTGCGATTCTCACTTGGAATGCGTCTATTAGCTGTCCACCATGCACGACTTTGCAGTGTAGCCCTTCCTATGGTTTCCATGTGATGTTGACAATCTTCTCAGTTATTCACTGAATAGTGTCGAAGAAGTCTCCATAATGTTCTCATATCCACACCGTCAAACACCTTTTCATAGTCAGGAAAGTTGATGTGTAGTGACGAGTTGCATCCAATTGATTGTTTAATGATGATCTGTGGTGTCTCGAATCGGTCTGTGCACTTTCGGTTCACACGAAAGACAGATAGGTGATCTCGAAGCTGAAAGTCCACTGAATCTTTCATTTGATCCAGTGACACATTGTTGTAAATGTTTCATGGTATCGATATTGGTGTGATGCCTGTATATTTCTTACATTTGCCCATATCTCCTTTCTTTTGTATCTTGATAAGATGGTTGGTGGAGTGACATCTTCAAGAAAGTCTGCGTGTGCAGCTGCTATGTGCGGTGAAATGATTGAAGCTGGCTCATTTAAAATCTCCCCGAAGTATTCTGTCCATCTTTTCTTCTACTCTTCAATCTAGGTGACTGTCTTGCCTTCTTTCTCCTTGACCGATCTCTCTGGTGTACCATATTTTCATATCAGTTTTCTAATTGTGTCACACAGTTGTTACATGTTTCCTTCTGTTGCAGCTTTGTCCGCTGCCGTCACTAGGTCTTCCACGTATTCCCGTTTGTCAGCTCTAATACTCTTTTTAACTTGTTTGTTTTATCTTGTGCCTTTATTTTCTCTGTTTGTGTTAAGCTGTTGTTAACGGCTATCTCCTTGTTCTTTCTCTTATGAATTCTGTCCAGTGTTCACCAGAGATCCAATATTCATTATGACGCTTCTTGAGGTTCCACCCACCGCCCGCAACACGTTAAAGTTAGTGCGTTTTTGATCCCTTTCCAATTTTCCTCCATGGTAGTTTCCTCCTCTTTTAGTAGGTTTCATTAGGCTTATAACAAGTAGCTGAGAACCACTATTATTTCTTTTTTTATTTTTTTTCTCTTTTTCAAATATGGCAAATATAATGCTAGCATTATTGAAACTTGTGCATTATTGCATTTTTCAAGAAAAACCTAATGGTTTCTTCACAACACTTATGTGCCCATAAGATGTTTGTCAGTATCTGTAAGGAAGTTTGTATTAAACCCTTGTAATGTTGTTCGTTTAGTTGCCCATTGCTTCTTTAGCTTTGGTCTCATCTGGGCAAACATCACATAGTGGTGATCCGAAGCTATGTCAGCTGTTCTCTTGCTTCTTACATCTTCCATTGATCTCCTTACATTTTTAGCGATGCAGGCATATTTCATTTGGATTTCTTTGGTGTGGTCCGGTGAAACCCATAGGGCTTTATTTGCGCATTTTTTGTGAGAATATGGTGCCGCCCATAACCTTTTAGTTAAATGCACATAAATCAACAAACCTGTCACCATTCTCGTTCCCTTCTCTTAGTCCATGTTGTACCATCATATCTTCATTTCCGGTGTTGTCCATTCAAACTTTGGTGTATAGGTCTCCCACCGGGATGGTCAGGTCACCTCTCGGTCTCTAGCAGCACTGATCTTTATCTTTTTCGTTGCTATTATTTGTTAGTGCCCAATACTGGTTAACATTCTCTGTGAATCCCTCCTTTTTTGTTTCGAAAAGTCGTTTGACGATCCTGGATTCCATC